AGAATATTTCATCTTTCCCTATCCTTTTTTAAATTTTTGTCCTGAAAATTGATTGTAATGAATTTAATATGAATTTTCGGGATTGCATAAGTGATTTGAATATCAAAGATGGCTCTTTCCAGTTTTCTTCTAAAAAAATTATTTAAAAAATTTTTAACTCTTAATCACATGGCCAAAGAATTACATCTAATTTCCTTCGTAAATTTTCATTCACCACTCTCTTTACTGTCTCTCTATACACGAAGGTTCGAAAAGCTTGGCGTTTCGCGTACTTGTACACGGCACAGATCCTCGAATTGCTCGTTCGACCGTTCATCGTCGATAGATTCTTTAGAAACTACTAACAACACAATGAACTGCCGACCAGGAAAGTTCTCGGGATTGAAAAACTTTCGGTCGGAATTTCTTTCTCCCCTACTGGCCGAATACGAACGGACATTCAGATTTCCGTCGGACGCGCAAAACTCGGAACGAACCGACGCTAAACGCGCCTTTGAGCCAGTCGTTGACGAGGAAAAAGTTCTTTTTTCTTTTTTGAATGAGAGAAAGAGAGAGATACATCGAGATTTCCAAGATACACTTGAGAAATTGTAGAATATCTGTAATAAAAAAAAAAAATAAATTAATTGTAATTAAAATAGATTTAAAAAGATTCTTCATCAAGGCTTCATCATTAGTAATCAAGATCATTTGAACATCATGTGCACAGATATTACAATTGAATTTGATCATTTAAAAATTCTGATATTTTTCAGGAAGAAAAAATTAAATGCAATAAAAAATTACAAATCTAATAATAAAACAAAGTTGACAATTTTTTTTGAAAAAGAGATATTCATTAAAATACACTTGTGAAATTTTAAAAATTTCTTCTTTATCATTAGTAATCAAGATCATTTGAAGATCACGTGCACAGATATTGACAATGAATTTGACATAAATTATTTAAACATTGTGATATTTTTTTTGCGTGAATCCTTTAATAATAAAAAAAAACGATTAAGCGCAATAAAAAATTGAAAGCATATTTATCGTTTATCGTTTTAATATCTAACGGTAAAGTCGGCAATTTCTTTGGTACAGCCGCACACATTTCTGATAACCCTTCGTGTCGTGTGATCCAATTGAAACGCAGCGTTAACCACCATTGTTCGTGGATTGGGATCGGAAGCGGAAACGAGGTTCCCTCCTTATCAACGTTTTTTTTAAAAGTCACGGTGGAACACGTGGCGATAATATAGCGGGGTGCAAAGACACGTGACCGGAAGAAGCATCCTAATTGATATCGATTCGACGATGCGCCCTTTTTCAGCTTGCGTATTTGCGAATCAAACAATAATTCCCTTATTATTTTCACATCGTCTTATTATAATCATCTGTCTATCTGTGTATCCTAATTTTTAATTTTGTTCGAATTAGAAAATTAGAATTACAAAATTCTTCAAATTCATTCGATCAAATTTATCATCATCAAAAATCTTCTCCAATTCTACTATAAATATTTCTTCCATTTCGTCCACATTCGAACACAAAGTTCGTTCTGCTCGCAATTCATTTAATACACTGTTGGAAAGAGGGGGAGAGAGGGGTTGGTCCAAGAGAGAAGCTCAGAGCTCAGAGGATGGATAACGTATGCAAGGCAAGAGGGTTAAAAAGAGTCCACGCAAACATCTCATACATTATGCGGAATTTCCACCCCACGGAAACCGGCCAATAAAACACCCCCGGAACACGGGTGTCGTCCACTCACCCTCTCCACCCTAACTGCATTGTCGAACTTTTTTCGTTTTTTCCTTTTCCTTTTTTTTTCTTTCTTTTTTTGTTTTTTCATCCTCCTCTTTCCAGTTCTCCTTTTTTTTTTCTCCTTCCTCGATTCTCGAAGTGCGTGTACACCCCCTCGATTACATTCGGAAATATTAGGGGACGTCCCACCGTTCGACAAACTATCAATTTATTCTCTTCTTCCATTGATTGGGGACCAAGTGACGTTTTTCTATGTTTCTTTTTTTCTTTTCTCTTCGTTTCTTCTTAGGATTTAGGAGATGGCCGGTATTAGTTTGAGTAGTTACGGATGTTTTGGCCTTCGAAAATGCTGAGTTCATGAGATTAGGTCATTTAGCTCGGCCATTTATGGCGATGAACGGTCCAATCGAGGCCGTTATTGTGGAGGGGAATTTTTAAAAATTTAGGTCGAATTAGGTCGAATTTGGATATTTTTTTCTGTTAAGATCCTGAAATTTTATTTCTTCTTATTAAATCTCGAAGAACACTTTTTCACGGAGTGAAATATATTAATATCAGATTGGTGTTTGATATTGGTATGGAATAAGTATTATAATGTTATAAAGAAGTAAGAAATTAAAATGTATTACAATTGAAATACAGAAATCTTGAGCATCGTGCATCGAATTCTCATTATCACGTTATTCTCGAACATCACTCGATTCTTAATAATTTTCCAGCATAATGGAAAACTTGAAATTAAATATCAAACACTTGTAACAGATATGCAATATCAGATTGAAAAATTATTTAATAAACAAGACAATAGATAAGATAACTTAACTTTGAACGAGGAATAACATCCCTAAAAAAAAAAGAAAAAGAAGAAGAAAAATCAAAATCACCTTATATTCGTTATCAATTACATTCAACAACTAAAATATTAAACAACATCTTGTCGTTCGCCTTACCAAATTCTCAAATTCACAAATGTTCAAACTTCGCTCTCGAAGATGAACCGGAAATCAGGACTCGCTTCTTGCACCGGCGGGAGAGAATCGAGAGAAGAATCTCTTGGCTCTGAAACTCTCGTCTGCCGTCCAAATCTCTATGGATCAGAGTCGGTCGTATAAATCATGGCCGGTTCAATGTTATCTCGCGCTTCCGGTTCGACGCACCGACATTTCGCGCACACCACCGCGGAATATTCCTATGTAGGGTGGTTTTCTGTACCGTACGGAGGAGGACAGGGCACAAAGCATATGCTGCCCGCTGTCCACTCCATTTACTTCGCTACGTCATCTCTCTCTCGGACGGGGAAGATAACCGAGGCCAAGGGAAAGGGATCGTGGGGATAGAAATGAGGTTGAAATTTCGAAAATTGGAACGAAAGTTCTCGTTGGTCAACCTCGAGTTCTCGAGGTAGAAATTGATTCTGATCCTCTTCGTGTTGGAAGAAGATGATTCTCGAAGAATTGTAATTAAATTTAAAGGAAGTTGATCGAATGTTTTTTGAAGAATATTATTCGATATTATTTAAAATTTTGTCGTACATGCAGAAAATTGATTTTGATTTTTTGATTTTTCGAAAGAAGTATGTTGTTAAGGTTATGTTAAGAAAAGGAAAGTTAATTAAATTTTCATGCGAAAGGTGATTTTTTTTTTTTATCACTTCGAAGTTTAATTAAATTATCCTATAAATTTAGATTCCAAAGATCGGATGTTTTGAAAATGTACGATACAATAGGGCAAAATACACTGTCCGATTTGTAAGTATCTTTATCATTTTCTTTTTCACGCGATTGAAATTATCGATCGATCAGAAATCAGCCAATCAGATTCCATGACGTTTTTCCATCTCAACAAAACCAGTAATCGATCAACGATCACGTATCTATTTATCGAATTATCATGATACTGTATTTCACGTTAATTTGTAATACAATAACACGATACTTTTCAACGAAATCGAATATTATTATTTTTATTATAAATTTGTTTAAAAAAAATTCGCTCGAACAATCTTCTTTACGTATAAATTCTACATTGAATCATATTTTATATTATTTGAGAGATCGTTCTCTTCTTACAATTATATCAAACTGTTTTTCTAAACAAAAAGATCCTATTTCTAAAAAAAAAAAAGAAGAATCTAAGAACTCGACAATTTTGAAAATTTGATTGAAAAATGACGACTTAAATTTAAAAGATGAATTGAAGCAGAATCCTAAATTTGATGACATAACAACTTGACCAATTCAATTTCGTGAAACAGAACTTACTTTCTTCTTCAAATTGGATAATGTAAATTCGAGTGGATCGTAATTTTGCAACGAAAGAATGAAAAGTTCTCGACAGAGGTCGAATCTTAATCCCCATCCAAGTTCGACAGGACGCCCTCAGGAAATCTAAACCGGTAACAAGATGGCTGCTCGGAAACGGAAACCGGAAGCTTGTCACTCAAGCTACACCGGCTTCCGGCGTGTCCCGAAAAAGGGAAGCGTTATGGAACGGTCGAGAAGAGAAATAAAAAGGAACGAGGGATGGAACAGGGTAGACATCTGTCTCGAGTGTATTGTTTTATCATGTTTCTCTTGTAATGATGTATGAATGTCTAAAGATTCTAAAACAAAAAAAAAAAATATTAAAAATTTGATCGAAAACTTGGGATATTGTTAAAATAAAAATTAATTTATAATAAAAAGAACTCTAATTTTCAGAGATTTAAAATTTCTTGGATAATTCTAAATTTTAATTCTTAATTTTCGATTACTTTAATTGTTCTTATATTAGTCTTCTTATATTTGTATATATATATTTTTTGTAAATTATTATCTCCAATATTATTATATTATCACAAAATCAATCAAAGTTTACTTCATCATCGTTACGAAAACTATTTATCATTGTATACCTGATATAAAAAAAGTTTCGTGGAAAATGTCACACGATTTGACTGATAATTTAATCATTACATCTGTTTAATTGAAGTAGTAATTGTGAAGTAGTTTTATTCGATATACTGGATAACAAAATACGTCATCAGATATGAAAAATAAATATGTCTCATGACACTGTATCGTTTTATTTATATTTACTTTAAAAAATTACCAAAATATCTCAAATATTGTCTTTTATTGTTCCATCAGACGGATAATTATTAAAAAAAAATATATTGAACATTAGATTTTGTACTCTTAATATTATATTTTTCAAACAAATATCTATATTTTCAATTTTATTTAACGAAAGGAAAAGGATAAAAGACAATAAATAAATTTGCTTAAGATTCGATTTTATTAAATATCTGTTATATTATTACTACCTGTATTATACACAATGTACATATATACAACCTATTCGACGTATTAATTACATGCTTCCTAATTAAAGGCGATAAACTGGGATTTCTGTATCGACTGTATCACTCCCTCTATACAATTATTACTTGCTCTATATTATCTCCTCCATTCCACGAAACGATCTCTACAAAAACAAAACAATCGAGAATCATTGTATTACAATTATATGAAAAAAAAAATCTTCTTGTTGATACAATTTACCAATATTTATTTTTCTAATGAAATTGTTTCAATAATAAAACAATAGTTATTATCCAATATTTTTTTCCTCGATAAAATCAGAATATTCCAACACGTTTGAATAATGAAAAATTGTTTCTTTCACTCAATTCAGATTAAAATTTCATGTTTCATAAACTATTTTCTTTGGAAATGATTATTATTATTTTATTCAATAGTTCGAACTTTATTTATTGTTTTATCTCGTTATCGCGATTAATTTGATAGAAAATGGGAGAATTGTTATATAAGCGATCAAGAATCTTCGCCATTTTGAAAAATGTTTCTGTAAGAAAATGAAAAGATATTTTAATTTAATCGCTTATTTATTATTCGTAGATGAGAATTTTTATTTTTAAGTACGAACGTGAGAGACACATATATACATACATACACGCGTATATTCACATACATGCTAACGATAACTTTGTACAAAAGAGAAGAAAAAAAAAGAATCTCGAAACTGTGAATCTATCTAATGATCTACACTATTGATCAAAAGTTTAGAAAATATTATTGAATTTGAATTTCTGATTAATTTTATATATAGGTGTATTTGAGATTTTTTGAGGTTATGTTTAATTCTATTTATCGTTCTATATTTTATGGAATCATTAAATAACTAACTTAATGATTATAAAGTAAATATTAATATAGAATATTATATTTATAATAGAATATTGAATAAAATTGTTTAATTTTATTCAAAAATTAAAGTTATTATCGTTTGAAGATATCAGTCGAGGGTTAAACCTAACCTAACTCAAATTGTCGTAGTGTTACTTACGATTCAATGCTATCACTTGAAAATTAATATATTAAGTTGATACTATAATACAATGCAAGATTGTTTTTATAAATCTTTGACTAGATAACGTTATAACTAAACAGAATTAAGATTTTCTTTTTTAAATTTAAAGATCTCACGAGATCAAAGAATTAATTTCAAACTTTTGACCGACAGTGCATACCTATTTCCTTTATTTCTCTACTTATTCACGCTATATCACTTTTACGTTACGATTTTGGCGTAAAATGTTATAATCAGAAAGTTTAGAACACTTTATGCGACTCATCCTATCGAATTGGTTAGAAATTGTAGATACACATTTTAAGAGACAAACAGGATTATTATTTTTAAAAATAATAATTTTAGAAATATTCCAATTTTTCACTTATCATTCGAAAAATAGAATATCATATTATAAAATAAACCACAATATTTTTAATTCTCTGATCAGTTTAGAAATTTAGAATTCGGATTAAAATTTACAGAATATTCGTGATATTATTATCTCCAACCAATCAAATAATTTCAAAATTATTATCACTATTTTTCCAACAAATTTTATAAATCCTCTTAAAAGTTTGTATCCAAATTTCATCCAAATTTCTCCACGATCATAATCGCGATTTATCTTTGGTTTTTATCTTCCGCAAATACCCGATACAATCGACGAAACACAGACGCAGTTTAATTCACTCGAACGACACTTTCATCGATAAAAGTTTCATCGAATTTTCAAATTTCGCGTCGAGATCCACTTTAATTACGAGTTAGAATGATGGTCGATCGTCAACTTCGATTGGCAGTACACTTCGTTTACTCAACAACGAGAACTCGAGTAAACTTAGTCGAAGTTTTACAGGCAAACACTCGTTTCTTACTGTTAATCATCTAAGCTAATAATACGTTTGATTCTTGATAATCTTACGATATTAGTTAAAAACGATTCTTTTCTGTACTGGAATTCTCTTGACAATTATGGGATGGATTATTCTTCGCGGTACTTGACGATTTCTCTCTTTCTCTGATTGATTTTTTGTATTTTTCATATCTCTCGATCGTTTGTTGTTTCAAGATTCGTTGATGTTTTTTTTAAAATTGATCGACCCCCACACTTTGATCGTATACTGTTTCTTTAAGATTCTTTGATACATGTTTAACATTACGAGGAAGATAATATTTCACTTGATTCCTTAGATATTGTTCATGAGAAGTTCGAACCCGTTACTTGATTGACTTAAATATATCCATAATCTTCCATCCATCTTACAGCTTTCATTGTTCGAAAATCAGTTTATAATTAGATTTCTTATCTTGTTTATACAAAAAATCCGTATCAAGATATTATCCATAATCCTTTTTTCTTCCAACAAGACGAAAGTTCTCATAATTTCTCCAAAAATCTAACAATTATTTTATTCCTTCTCTAACAATCTCATATTTCAAGTATCAATGATCGACGATAAATCTTCAACATCTCCTTCACTTTCTGTCGCATATGATATACCAATTCGCCCAGAATAATTGGATAAGATTTCCTCGTCCTTCCAACAAATATCATCCACAATTTTTCTCTTCCCTTCCCCGATGAAAAGACAAATCGTTCTCCCGACATAACAATCATTAATTAACCTTCTAATTAATTAATCTTCTGTCCACCAAAATCCGACTACTATTCGACAACGTCTTCGACTGTTTCGTGCCAGCCTTCTATCGATCCTCCAGATATCCCAGCCATCGACCGCCAAGTCCACGATGACAACGAATGATTCTCATTCATTCAACGAACGAAAGTCCATTGGTCTTACCACCAATAAGGTTTCTGCATGTAGGGCGGCATAGGTACCTGGCCCGTGGTCGGATACGTGGCAGGTTCCATCAGCTTGGACTGGCAGGGCTTTCCATCCTTGATCAGCAACGGTACAGCGACCCTTCTAGGTGAACACCCGCTTCCGCTCGCCTCCGTCGCCGCCCTTTTCGTCTTGTACCTGTGGTTCTGGAACCAGATCTTCACCTGGGTGGGGGTGAGCCGAATAATCGAGGCCAAATGCTCCCTCTCGGGGGCGCTCAGGTATTTCTGCTGACGGAAACGTCTCTCGAGCTCGAACGTCTGCGCCTTGGAGAACAGCACTCGCCTCTTCCGCTTTTTGTGCTCGGTCTCGTGGGGTTGGGTCTCGTTCGCCTGCTGCTCGTCCTCGAACTCCGCCGACTCTTCCTCTTTGCACTCGTGGTTCGCCTCCTGCTTCGGTGGGAACGATAGATCCGAGATGGTCGGGCTGGTCGAGTCTGGTTGCTGCAACACTGGAATTTTTGCAGTTTTATGATGCTGCAATGTGGAAGAATTGGTTGGTTGAATTGAAGTGTAGCGAGTATTGGTTGAGCATTGCGTTCTTTATTATAATTATAATATTATAATTCGTGGATCTGTTTAGAAATTGAAGGATCTTTCGAAGCAATGAAGGGATCGCATTTGATTTTGGATTTTGGGTTATTGAATTTATGAGTGTTTGATAAGGATCGAAGATATTCGTTGGAAATTTTGCAAATTTAAAGTAGAATCGAGTTGGACGAGTAATTTTGTAATAGTTACTTTTCTAAAAATCGATAAACGTCATTTGGAAAGGTATTTAGATCGTTTGGAAAATGACTAAGGCATACTGCAGCTGCATTTTTTACTACCCCTCGACTCCTACGCTGATTGCAAGCAGATGCAAGCCTGTATTGATTACTCAATTCTCGTTAATAATTGCTTGCTCATCGTTCGGATACACTTTCTGCTTAAACCTATCCAAACCATACTTATAAAGTGGAAGAAACAAAATTGATCGTTAAAATATTAAAAGGATCAATTTCTTAATTTAAAAAACACGAAGAATTTCCAAAAAAAAAAAAAAATAATAACGAAATATTGATAGATTCTGTTCACCGTTTAATCCAACAATATTTTGATTAGTCTTCGGCTAAAGTGGCAAATACCACGGTGGCCTAGAGACACGGTAATTTAATGTACAACGACGAGGTCCCTGGCTTCGTGAGCATACAATACGCTTTTGTGAACGAGCCGTAAGCCTGGTTGGGGAGGGTGTGAAGCAATATACAGCGTTTGATACCCTCCTCTACCCCATGGGATCGACTGTATCATTTTCATGGGAGATTAGGCTCCAGCCTCTGTCGCGTCGTGATTTCAATTAGACACTTCCATCTTGCTTCTCGACGACGACGACGACATTAACGTCTTCGAAAAAGAACGATTCGACGATCAATTAGATTCCAGTTTGAACACATAAAACGCCATTGCAAATTTTAAATCGAGGAAAAAATGAGATAGAGTTTAGATGAGAATCGTTTGATATTTATCATAAATTTACAATTTGACAAAATGTAAAATCGAAGCAATTGTTTGTAAATATATTTTAATTCTACAAAAATGGATCATTTATTAATTTTCTTTAACACTTTCAACTTTCTCTTCGAAACTCTCGATTTATCGAGACTTCGGTTTTCTTTCAACTCGAAGACAAAATTTATACAATCACATGCCAACGAAAGCGATCGCGTTAGGGATCTATCTTCTCCATCCCGGCGGTCGAAAACACCCTTTCCACCCTTTTGAAAGGGATGAAATCCCCGATTTCTCGATGTCGACCGTTCTAATATTCGAGAAGAAGTAAAAGAACGGAAGGGAGATAAGGAGAAGAGGTGAAAAGAGGCGATAGGCTACGGATGGATTTTTTGGGCGTGACAATTTCGATTGATCGAGGGCCTCACAGGGATACACGCATCTGCCCTCGAAAGGACATCTGTCCCCTTGCACGGGCCAATCGGTGAACAGGGCCCACGAGGACCTTTTATAGGACCATTAGATCCTGCTTAGCCCAAGCGGGCCAATTGTAGGGTGCTAAATAAATAAGGGTTTCGACGCTACGTACTGCACACCTCTCACAAGTATATTTCATACATTCGATTCGTAGTAACGAATCGTACGATTTTTTTGAAATTCGAAACCCAGATCGTTCATATTCTTATGTCAGATTTTTTCCAATAGATTTTAAATTGAGTATAATTTGATCGAAAGATGATGATTTGAATTATTTCTTGGTAACCAATAATTGTTTGAAGAGTATTTTACAATTACAATTAGAATTACAATTTTAACAATTGCGAGAGATTATTAGAGAGGTAAACTGTGAATTTAACCCTATTCCACGCTTCAAAAAATTCGTAAAAAGTTTATTACTTACCATTCACCTCTTCCAAAGGCTGAGGTAATGTGGTCGGTAACGTTGGACCGGTCGGCCATCCCAATAAAGCGGGTGGCGGGGGTGGTAAGGTGCCTCTGTTCAGATTCGCGTATATCGCGGGCTGTAACATGGCCGTCGTGTGCTCGAAAAACTGTTGGTATGCCGACGGAACATCGTTCGTGGTCGGTAGCACCGTGGTACTACCTGCAACCAGAATTTCCAAAATCCAATCCCTTTAAATATCGACTCGACATAATATTTTCAATTTATTTCGAACGATTTATCAAAGAATGGAAATGTTTTTTGAGAGCATAGATTTTGAAGAGAAACTTTTTATTAGAAATTTATATTTATTAGAAATTTATTTTTATTAGAATTTATTAAGAAAAATTATCTGGTCCAACTGAAATCGGTTCGAAATTCATAGAAAAATCACTCCTTTCGTTACCTTGCACCTCCGTTTCCTCCTGGGATGGCTTCGAATCAAGCTGCAGAATGTCATGGATGTGAAAACTTGTGCTCCTGGGCATCTTGAAGCTCTCCAAAATTCTACAACAGAAAGATCATCGAAGCGAAACGATTAAAAACATATATATAATCTCAGCCAGATCATGATTATACTAACAAACTAATCGAACATCTACTTGAACGTGCATAACAGAACCATCCTAAATTATTATCTTAAAAAATGAACCAAAAAGGAAAAAAAAAAGAATAAGCACGCGAGACTTCTTATAAAATTCTTCTATCTTAATATCCATTTCTCTCTATCGATCTCTATTAATCGATATCTGTCGAACCGATTGAAAAAAAAAAAAAAAATAAGACGATTGGTTAAAACGACTGAAGTCGTGGGATTCGTTCGAAACCCGTTCGTGGTTTTAAACGAAGAGCAGCCGCGAGTCGAGAAGTCGAGCACAAAAGGCCGCTTTTCAACGAGATCAATCCAATTTTCCAAGTTTTCCCGCGGCGTGACGAAGCGTCAAGAAGCCAGTGGGACGTTTTAAGTCCCGATTAGACGCGTTCTACATAGTGAAAGGAAGCCGAGGCTACCTGCAGCTCCGCTGCCAAACAACCTGTCCTCGGGCACAGAGGCGAATTTCTGCCCTTCCAAAGTCTAAGCCAAACGACCTATTATCGCGGCACGTTCGGCCACGTTCCCGGATGAAAGAACTGCCGCTTCAAAGTTTTCCTAATAGACGCCTGGTGACCGTACTGTCTCTTAATATTTCGGTTTCTCGGAGGTGGGGACGGATGGCGGAGGATCGCCTCAAAATTGTTGGTTTTGTCGAGATCGAGAACGGTTCATTTTGTGACTAAATTAGAAAAAGGAAAATATTATATATAACGTTTGTGGAGAATATATAGTAATAAGTAGAAGTGTAGACAGAAGAAATGTTCAAGTTTAATTACTGTCTTATATGAAGTATAGCCTCAGATTATTGTCAATGGGTCTCTTAGGATTAGTTATAGCTTTTATAAACTTCAGTTCAGGAGAATAATCCAATTTAAACCTCTAAAGAATGTAATAATCACTTAGTTATATACGTATTAGAAAATGAACAAAAGAATGAAGTTATTTACCTTAACCCCTATTATTCTGATGAACAGGTATATAGGATAAAAAAGATTTAGAAGAAGTTATATAAATAATAAAATATTTAAATATATAAATAAAAAATTTCGAATTTAGAAGAGAGCAAATCTTTTTCCTAGATTTAAAATTTAAATACATTTAAAATCACTTCCTTGTAAGAGTAATATTAAGAGGATAGTAATATTAAAAATTGTAATGTATTAATTGGATAATATTTTAATTTCGAATAATATAATTAAAAGTATATATTGTAGCGAATAATCGTATTTAGCATAATCCAATTTAAAATGTTAAAGGATATTTTAATAGAAGAAAATAAGAAAAATAAGAAAGGAATAAAGAAAAAAGTGTCAAATAAAGAATAAGTCAAATCTGAAGATTTTATTCTATGCAAATTAAATAATAATTAAAGGTAAAGCCGTATAATGTATTTTACAGTATTATAAACTAATAAATTTTGAAAACGATAAAATTTTATTCTTTCCTGCATGATAGAGAGATTTACTGTTATTATATTTTTTTTATTGTTTAAAAATTGCAAAATTTAGTTGAGAAAAACTAATAAAAACAATTGAGAATGGAAACTTCGTTAAAAAAGAAACTATTTGGCCCTAATTTTCACATGTAAAATTATTCTCTAGCAATTAATTGCGAAGCTAAGGCGTTGAAATCACCAACCGTTCTAACGTAATTAAAGAATCTGTCGTTCAAATTTTAATCTCCTCGTCGAAATTTGATTTTCTTCTAGAGTTTCTTTTCATCTTTAAGCTTGCAAAAATATTAATGAAATCATACATCGATTATCGATTTTAAAACAAAGATTACGATAATCGAATGTTTCGATAAGGCATAATACATCGATGATGAAGCCACGTGCAAGAATTCGAGGGACATCAAGATCTCGATTACGAGACAATAATATTATCGATAAAATTATTAATTATGAGACTTTCTCGCTTATCTCAAATCATTTTCGGATCCTGTTATTTCTTTGGAACAATTAATAAACGAATAGATTGCGATTTATGAAATATTAATTTCGTAGGTATTATTTAATCAAAGGATTAATATTCATGGCGAATTTTAAATTCTATTTCTTCTTTCTAAATTCCTTTCGCGCATTAATATGTTGCAAAGGAAAAACGATAATATATGATATAACTTAGATAATAAATTTTAAGAAATTTATTATGATTAGAAATTATTAAGAAAATAAAATGTCTCCTATCTAATTTCACTTTCAATTTAATACTCGTATCAAGATTATCCTCTATAAATCTATAAAATCTCCATTTATATAATATTAAAATCAAAGATCTAATTGGATCTCGAGAATCACTGGATCACAATAACGACTCGTAAATTTCACTCGATAAATTTCCAAGAAAAATTACAGAATTATCGAAAAATCAAACCACTCTTCATCGCTTTCAAATAAAATTCTACGACAAACCAAATGAAAAAGCTAAGCGACACAACATTCTGCACCAAAAAACTCATACTCTACTCAGCCAACTAAAAAAATCAGATAATAAACTCCACCCTCTTAATCGATATCCACATATCCACGATAATATAAATCCACTCATTCCACTGAAAGATTCGAACTGAAACGCATGCGAAATAATTCTGCAAAGAATTAACCGCGTGAGTGCCTGTTCTAACACACTCGAACTCTATATATATATATATATATGTACATATATATATAAATTGGTGTCGACAAAAATAAGCTACATACACGTGGTATAGATATAATTCTCTATAATATATATATATATTTTTCTTTTTTTTTTTTTTTTCTTCTTTTCTGATGAGTTCAAGTTTACCTATTACTGAAAGCGAGCTGGCTGTACCAGACGTGATTCAAGAGACTGGTCTGATAGGATAGCATCGACCAGGGCAGAATCTTATTCTTGTCCGCCATTTTGAAAGTCTCGAGGAGGTGTTAGTGGCGTCAGTACATGTTAATGTCCTCGTGGTTCTCTCGCACTCGTTTCAATGTCCTCACCCTTTCTCTCTCTCTTTTTTTTTTTTTTTAATCTTATCTTACTCTTTTTTCTTAACCCCTCTCTTTCTCTCTCCCTTTTTTTTTTTTTTTTTTTTTTTTAAATTTCACCCTTCCAAGATCTCTCTCGTACCTTCTTACTTATTCACTCTCGGCCACTTTCCTTCCTCTATTCACTTCCCCAAATTCACTTCCGAATTCCGTCCCGATCCCCGATGCGTTCAACGTTCACCCGCACACCTGACCATCCTCTTCGTCCCCCAACTTCGGCCCCTTCCGGTTCATCACTGGCCCATCAATACACCCGCGACTTTAGACTTTTTCTCTAGAATCCTTCTCGAGAATCCACCAACTATCCTTGTTATTGTTGTTGTTGTTGAATTATATCGATATAACGAGGGGGGAGGGGGGGAGGGGGAAGAGGAAAAAAATCACAAGTTCAATCGAAGCGAAACGCGTAGAAACTCGAACGACATTCACTCGCGACTCGAAACTTGATATTTTTCTTTTTTCAAGATCGGAGGAGCGGGAAAGAGAGCCGCGATTTCGTCGAGTGAAGAGCACTCCTTGTACTTTTTGAGTGTCCTCGACGAGCACTTGACGACTAGTGGTCCCTACCTCCGCGCCGTTTCGCTCGTCAAGCACCCTCGAGCCAGAGGGCGGATCTGAGCAAGGGGCGGGGATTTCGAGCTCACCCTCGACAGTCCACCCCACTGGATGCTCGCCGAGAGAATTAGCGAGCTGGATTTCCAGGGAACGTGGTCGATCGTTCTTTCGTACAGGGATGGAGATCAATCTATACAAAGTAAGGGAGAGGGAGGGAGGGAGGGAGGGAGGGAGAGAGAGAGAGGGGAGATTGTTACGCTGCTCTCTGCGTCTATTTGGGATTAGGTAAAGGGTGTGATTCTTTGAAACTCGAGAAGGGGTGGTTTTTGGGTTTCGAGATTTGTACGTTGGAGAGTTGGTTTTAAGGAGAGACGTTGTTTGAATGGATTTTGAAGTTGTTTGAATATTCGATAGTGTATTGTGTATACCCATTGCTGTAAATTGTATTGTTGTAATTAGGATTGGATAATGTTGGACGATGATTTGTGAATATTTTGTTATAATATAGGAATAAATTGAAGTGCTATGAAATTGTTTTGAGTAACTATTAGTATCTATATTGTATTATGAATTGATATTTTCATAAAATCCTTAAAATATATATTTTAATGATATTTGTAACGTATTTACTTTCTTGATTAAACGAGATTTAAGTATTGATTCTAAGTGAGCTTGTGGTCAAAATGCATATAAACAGAAGCAACCCCTATGACACATATACCTACATTCTCATAATATATTACTTTATACACAATATTATTTATATCTACTTCAGTCTAAATCTTCTTCCTAAAAAAAAAAAAAAAAAAAAAAATAATTTAAACTATTCAGAGTAAATATAAAAATTAATAGATCATACATTTAAAAAAAAGAAAAAAATTTCTCAAAAAATCTTTCAAACTTTATCAAACCATCTCCCATAACCGCAAACCACTCTCTCAACAAACTTCCACCCCTCCTCCCCATTCAAATATACACACTCGAGCCAAAATCAGATCGGTCAATCCATTTTACAAATTTCATCGTCTAATCTGAAAACTGCAATCTACTTTCGAGATCCAAGAGCGCAACAGAAGCACGAATAGGAATTTATTGGAATGCGAAACGCTCGAGGGAACGCTCGCTGGGTGAACGACAGGGGTGAGTTTGAGGGGGTGGAGCTTGCAACTTGGACCAATCGGGTCACAGTGTCTGGAGGATCGGCCTGGAATACCGTCGAGGGGGTTGATTTCGACCCACCTCGTCCGCCGACCAATCGGATCGCTCCATCGATCAGGGGCTTTTTACACCGAGAGCATACTTTGCGTCGAGTGTTAATGCGAAACGGCATTAGCGGTGCTTTTACCGTGTCATTTCGATTTTTTTTTCTCTCTCTCTCTTTCTCTCTCTTCCCTCTTCCTCTTGCCAATTTTAGCCCACTTTCTCGATGGATTTATCCCTCTTCCTGGTTTACGGTGTACGTCGATACTCGAAAGTGGGTTAGAAGCGTCCTCGGGCGTAGTCGATGGATCGTTGGATGATCCATGCTGGTGGAAGGGTTGTAATGTGTATATTTCATGGGATGGAACATAAAATTGGTGAATGTTATTAAGATAATATTAATATTTAAGTCCATCGAGTATTAGAATTCTGCAGTGTTGTTTTCTTCTGTATTATTTTCCATATTATTATTATTTATTTATTATGTTAAGTATAGGTATTAAGACTATTGTTCAACATTATTTTCCATATGATGTTATTATATAGGTGGTTTGAGAGTGTCATAGGAATGTAGAATTAGTGAATGTTAAGATAATTGTGTGATAGGTATTTCATGTTAGGATTGTATTCTACAGTAGTATAAATTTTGCATGTGTTATTATTATATTGACATGTAAATTGAATGAAATAAATTTAGTTATAATAGATGAATTATATGTATGTTAATTAAAGAATATTTATATATATAATAGATATTGATCTGAAAATTTTATTTTTAATATTATTTATAATATATTGAATTTTAAGTGATGAGATAGCAAATAAGATTATTACCTATGAGTAATTAGGAATAATAATATTAATTATTGATATAGGTGAAAAATTTTAATATCTACCATTGATTAAATATTTAATATGAATGAGTTGGATTAATGAAAACAATCAAGTCAGACTTTCAGATGGTTTAGATAGTACTCAGTTTTTAAGATATCCAAAAGTAGAGTATTTATTAGCATTGATAAAATCATTGAAGTAGGGATTAATTTTATTTTACAAATAATTCAAACTAAGAAATATATATTCTGAATATAGAAAGATTTTTTTACATTTTTTTAATTCTACCCTATTTATAATCCTTTCATCCTTCTTTTTACTTCTAACAATAATTCTTAATCTTTGCAATTCACAAAATAGTCATTACTTTATACTTAATCATTTTAATATAATTGCATTGCCACATTCAATTCACATGCTATAAGAATAATCCTCTCAACATTTAACTCAATTATAACCAAGTTAATTCCTTCATTTCTCCTTATATTATTCAACAAAATACAATGTTGCAACATTGAAAAAGGTTGTAAAATATATTCATACAAAAATAAATCACTCGCACCAATGTTCCAATCATAAATCCTTCATCCTCAATAAAACGTTTCGAGTAAAAAAGTCCAAGCCATTGAATTTCAGAAAAAAAAAAAAAAAGAATCCTTCGTAAAACCACATCTTTTGAAAAGATATTCGACTAGCCAAACTAAACTAAATGGTACTCGAGGAACGACAAATTGATCTTGTTAGATTCATAGATAGATTTTCAATGGACCTGCAGGTTGTATCAAATCGCACAGAAGTGACCCGCATAAATACAGGTACGTCATAGCGCGCACACACGTGGATGGAAAAAGCATGATCCAAGGGAGAAGGACAGGTAAGGGCGACGATGAAGCGGGTTTCCGGTTTATTCAACGAGGTCTTTGTGCGATCGTGTGGCTAGGCGAAAAAGTCAAAAAGTGCGGAAGAGGGCGGTTTCGACCTTCCTGACTTTTCTCATGAGCACTCATCCTTGGATTTATTCGATGGAAAATTTTCGCTTCCGTGGAATTTTTTAAGAGTTTGAATTTGGTTTTTGAAAATTTTTCATCGATAATTGATAATTAATATCTGTAATGAGAATATTGTCGTTGATGATGAGAATTGAAAAAAGGAAATTGGTAATATTGATGATGAGTTAATACGAAATACGAAAATTGAGATTATTGTAATTTTGAAAATTTTAAAGTGTGGATATTAAAAATAGTTTCGTTTCCGTGAAATTTTTCGAGGGTTTAAATATTTTTGGATAAGGTTTCGAAATTTTTTAATTGCTATCGATAATTGATATTGAATTGATATGATTTTCCGTTTCAGCAATGCGAAATGATTATTCAGATTTATTGACACTATTATAAATAAAATTGTCGGAAGTACTCACGTTCTTTGTTTGTCGGATAGAAGGGAATGAGTCACTTGTATTGCTAAAACAGAAAATCGTAAATTACTTTGACAGAGTCAATTTACTTCCTACTATACACCCCTATTCAACCTTTCATACTCTCGCAGATACAAATATGAAGATATTCTACATTTTTCAAATTACCATTACCAACATTACCTACGATTGAAAAAAAAAAAATTGAAAATTCTCCATTTCGAATCCACAATATTGCCTCAATATTGCCACATCCCCATTCCTGTTACACATAAAATCCTGTTATACATAAAAATCCCACATCTCAAATCGAAAGAAAGAAGAAAAAAAAAAAAAGAAAAGAGAAATGCATAAAAAGAGACGAAATAAAAGTCACGAAATATTAAGAAATGAAGATCGATTCCCACGATGCACGCACAAAAATCGTCAAGTAGAGTCTCTCTCTCGCGTGTTTCGAGCAACTCTTTACCGGAAGACGACGCGGGGCATGCAAGAATCGTTTCCGTTTCCACGGCTGCGCCGTTCTAACTCGGTTAGAATCGGATTCAACGAGACGCTCTCGTGATTTTTCCAAACCAACGTATTCGTCCAAGCGTCGAGAGAGGAGGAGAAGATGATAGTGAAGGTGGAGAGTGAAAGACAGAGAAGGAGAGAGGAAGGGAGAGAGAGAGATAGAGGGAGAGAAAAAGGGAGAAGAACTAGCTGGAGAAGTTCGAGCTGGCGGGCAATCGAGCAACATTTGCCAGGATCCCACGACTGTTTGGCGATAGCTGTGCCAACTTGTTTCGAGCACGCAACCCAATTTGTCTGCGTCTCATTGTTTTACCGATCCTCCCGCTTTCCTCGCTGAAAATCGTCCAGAGGGGACCTTAACGTGGATTATTACGGCCCTTCGATGATCGAGTGCGGTGGCTACTACGGATTTTACGCTTTCGAAATGCTTTCTTTCATCTCCAGAGGGTATTTAATCCTTTTATTTCGCTGGGATGAAGGTCGATAATTTTATGTGTAATTTTTGTGACGAATCTAGTTGTAGTAGTGGAGTGGTAATAGAATTATTTTGTGCTTTTGAAATAGTTTTTTTTTTTTTTTTTGTATTCTCGATGATGATGTTTAGTTCTTTATTTTGCTGGATGGAAATTTGTGTGGAATTTTCAAGTGTATTGCGTTTGATATAATTTAATTTTGTGGATTGTAATTGTAAATGATAATAAGATTGTTGCGTTGAATTTTGTGTCTTGTGTCAAGATTGCTTGTGTGAAGATTTGTATACTTCAGAATGTATTTAATATAATTTAATTTTTAAGTAAGTGATAGTTTGAAATGGTTTTTGTTTTTTATTGATAATTTTTTAATCCTTTACTTTGCTTAGGAGAAAAATAATTATTGAATGATTCGTACACGTTATTAATTATTTAAAAGTCATTCTTTTTATCTAAAAAATTTTATAAATTTAATTTTTCACGAAGCTCATCGAGTTAGTAGATCTAATTATCATTTTATCTTCGTTCAACATTCAAATTAAATCGACGTTTCTTCAGAAAATCTCAGAAGACGAACGAAAATTGACTCATGGATTATATTCGAACGTTTAAATCCTGATAATCTCTTTGGCATTCAATGGCTGACTGATCAACTCGAGCTGACCAGTTAACAATCTTAAAGATTGTATCGTGAACTTTAAGATAAATCTGATTAGCTAACTAAACTCAACCATGGGGCTCGAGTTAATCCACTGTTTGAAGAAACGAGTTTCTTTCCACTAGTTAATCCCATCTTTTTCGATCGACCAGATTATGCTTCACCATTTAAGAGATTCGAGATTATTTTTTCAATTTTCGAGAAATACGAATTTTTAAGAAAGTGGAAAGTGGAAAACACGTTGGGATGAATGAAGACAAGTAAACACCTGACCGGTAAGGCAATTAGATCTAATCTGTAGCAATAAAACCCTGCCATTACCACCATTGTTATAACTAGTTATGTTCTCCTTGAAGAAATTTTTTTTTTATGGTCAACGATGGTTTACGACTCTTCTGGTGGCAATATTCAACGTTGAAAGAGAAACTTTTGGTTGGAGAAACTTAAATGTAAGATATAATGGTAAAAAAATTTACAAATATTGAAGGGATAAATTAGAAAGTATTATCGTTTGAATTTAACGTCTTTGTTATATAATTTTTCCAATCTACTTTATTCATCCCTGTCAAATTTTTTCCCAATATTTACCGAACAAAATATTAAATCGCCAACATTTTTACCTCATTTTGCAGACTAATTAAAAATTTCCTTTCCTCGTTCGAAAATTTCGATTTCGACCCGGAATAAGCTCAAAGATATCACCAGAAGAAGAGATCGTGAATCATCGAAAAACGAAACACTCGAAACACTCTGAAGAGGAGATAAACCGACACCAGCAGACCGGATTCCAGTTTTTATGAACGCAGTTGCGCTCTCGAGCGACCACTTGATACTCGGTATCGGTGGAGAAAGATTCAGGTGTGGAGGTTCCACGAAACGTGCCAGGTTGAATAAAGGTTCACCCATTTACCGGATATTTCCTCCATCCCCCATTAACATGACAATATCGCTACCTGTTCGGCCAAACACCTGAGAACTCCTGCCAAGTCCTTTATTTATTGCCTCTACGTGCCGGCGCATGATTTTTCCTCTTAAATTTCCCAATATCACCGACGTCTCCTCGATTTTTCCTCGCACTTCAATCGCTCTCAGTCGCCCATTCTTCTTCCCCATTCCCGTTTCTGACACGCGAAAATATGAAATGTTCGTCGAGTGGCACTTTACAATCGACTATCGAAACGGTCACCCTCGAGTGGCGGCTCGAGTGGCTGTTATTACATGGGGATCGGAAAAATTGTGGAGTACCATTGCACTCGACCGTTCGAGTGTTGTCTAATCCCATGGAATAATGTTTCTATTACCTCTGTTTTTTATTGCACGTTATTGTTACGTTATCCACTTACGATTCAAATTGTAAAAATTATTAAATATCATTATATGTTGATTATTTTTAACATCGAATAGGGAAAAATCGAACTACTGATATATATTCTTTCCTGTTAGAAAATTGATCGTATAGAAAAAAGAATTTTCAACGCTGCTTCTTCTCGCCTGCTCATTAAAAGTTTAATCAAAATTCGTATTTTCCAATTAAATCTTTCCTTTACCAACTTTTGATTTATACGAAATATATATATATATATCCAACATCGTGGGTCCAAGAAGACACTCTGTCAACGACAACCCTCGTACACCTTCCATCCTCTTCGAAGAAACCCTTGAAAAATCCACTTTCCACCAGCTTGTAGTAGTGCCATAGGACTGTTCATCCTCGAACTGGCGAACGAGCTGGTCAAAGATTGGAGAAAGAAAGTCGACGGACGAGAAAGATGGCGGCTAGAGAGAAGCGACGTTCATTCACCAAAAAGATCACAATGGACCAAGCCGTCGTTCTGAAGTCGTGAATGAACGTAGTACGTCTCTCGTAGTAGTAGGTGGCTCGACGGGTGGCCTTCGAGGAACCCTCTTTCATCGGGAGTTTTTATTTTATTTTATTTTATTTTATTTTTTTTTTTTCATCCTCGAGAAGGCCATCCAGCCGACACGGTGGAATACCACGGGGCCAAACGTGACCCAAACTGTGCACGGCTCGTTAAGGACCAGCTACCATCGGGGAGAATGTTTAAGAAACGTTTAAGAAGTTATTCGAAGCTGGCACAAGGGTAACCTCCATTCACTTCTTCTTCGTCCATTCAGATCCAGAGAAGAGCGGAAGGTAAGGTCGTGGAAGATAATTCTTCTCAGTATTCGTGTAAGCTTCGATCTCGAGACAAGTTGGTCCCTTGTCGATGACTTCTTTCCTTTCTTCGATGCTCTGTATGCACGTTCTTGTGACCGTTTTGTGACAAGCAAAATTTGTCGAAATGAAATGATGTTTGATAATTGATTAAATTTATGTTTCAAGAAGGAGGAGGATTGGAAATTTTCTTTGCAATGTGAGAGTTGAAAAAAATTTGACGAAGAACTTTTGCTTCGTTCAAGAGAAATTCTGAAGAATTGCACTGTTTCTTTTCTTTTCTTTTCTTTCTTTCTTTTTTTCTTTTCAGTTGTTGAGAGTGAAAATTTGCAAAAAATAAGATTAAAATATTTTCCTTTTTTTGAAAGTATAAAAGATCCAAAAGACTTCGTTTGTAAACTTAAATATTCCATTGATTATTTTATTATTTTTAATCTCTTGATTATTCGCGCTTTTTTTGAACGAATTTTCGTGCGAAATATTCTAAGAAATCAATATCTGAGTGAGTAATTTTCTGCCAGTAAATATTCCACGATGTTCTCGGCATCGTTTCGTGTTATCATCTGTTGTATCTAATCATTAATCACACGAGACGTGACGAACACTGGGAGAGAAAGAGAGAAAGAGAGAGAGAGAGAAAGGAAAAAAAAAAGAATAATGCAGCCAATTAGTGAATCGCGTGGATGTATCGATCGACCTGCATCGAACGAACGGTGGCAATCGGGCGAATTTAGGTCACATGTCAACCGAATCTAACTTCAAGATCGAAGGATCGTTCGTTTTTATCGAAAATATGTAATCTTGGATGCTTGTGTTGAATCTTAATTCGATGTTTCATTCGAAAGAATAAAATTCTACTCGATTCCAAAAGTATTCAACTATTAGAATTAACTTAAGTATTATTATCTCTCTATACAATAAATTACTAAAGTATTGGTAAACTTTGTGGGATCCCAAAAAATCATTTTACAACTACTCATTATCTCAACCTCAAAGTAAGCAGGTATTTACTATTCTTCTTCGACTTCAGGTATCAAATTTAACTTTAACTTAATTGTCCTTCCTCACTGTTATAAAGTGAATGTAATTAAATACAATATATTGAATATTTCAATTATGGAATTCCAAAAATTAATTTATTTAATATAAATAATCTAATCAATTAGATTCTTAATCGAGAAAATTTCTCAAAGATTTCATGGAATGGATCTAACATTTCAAGATATATTGTTACATCAACACGTTAGATTACTACAAGTATTACAAGTACTATCCAACTCACTATCATAAAATACTCTTCAAACTGCTGAAATGTTCTCTACTTCATAGAATTTCAAACTATTCTACAACTCGTTACAACTCCACAACATTCTTTAATCCACTAGAGTCATTCAAATTGTAAGAATCCTCTATCCGATATCTATATTATATATAATATATAATACCCATTATCTAAAAAAAAAAAAAAGGAAAAAAACATTAAAATCCAACTTCGACTTATCTTTCCACTCTATCGTCACAAAACTCAATATATATATATATATATATATATCAAATATAAATAAACGTTTCAAAGCATCGAACACCAATCCACACTCTAATAAATCTCTAATTCATCGATCGTTTCACGATCGACGAGTTTCGAACTCGATATGCAAAAACAGCCACACCGAGTTACGATTAATCCGATATTTATGGTGGAAACCAACAGGTGTTGGCGCTTACTACTTGGGCCCTTTCTCGCGTGCCCGCCCGTGTAACAAGGCGTACCACTCTACACCGAAGGATTCGTCTAACCGATATGCGTGACTGCTCTTAAACGCCCGCTCGCTTCCGGTTCCACCCGTTGATCCGGCTAATCAGATATGCTAATCGACCCACCGTGTTGCATTATCGCCCGGCAACATCGATGTTTTCCATCAAGAAATTCGAGCTCAATTATCTCTATTCGGGAAAAATCGTGAAATCAGATAATGGATGAAGGAAGTAGTGTATTCTTTTCCTTTTTTCCTTAGCTTTTTTTTTTTTTTTTTTTTTTTTTTTACGTTTAATCTGTAATGTATCTTCTGTTACAGATTACAAGTTTGTTTTTGTTGGGAAATTACAATTTCTTTGTAATTCGTTATCTGCGAATTGAAAATAGATGATATCTTGTTGTGTAACATCAAACGTGATTTGCCAAGTTGCGAAAGTTTCGTAAGATTTTATAAATGTATTTGATGTATGGAGTGATTCGAGTGATATTCGAGGAGTGATTAGGTTAATTTTTCTAATGTTGGATTTCGAAACTTGATGTCGGGATTTTATTTGATCAATTTTTTTTTGGATTATTATTTGATTATTATTATTATTATTTTTTTTGGATTATTGTCTTGTCAAAATTTGTTATTACATATATCAATAAGAATATTTAATTCATATTATCTAATATATATTTATCGATGAATATTTCTCATTTCCATTCGTTCATTAAATATCACATCGAAAATAAAGTTGATGTTTCTTATCAAAAAGAAAACAAGCATTTTCGTTTCTTCCAAATTTCTTCGACTCAACCCTATAATGAATCCCTAGAGTATACTATGAATAACAATTACAGGCCGCAAAGGGTTAACAATCCTACCTTTTCAAAATATGAAAATCATTTGATGTTTCCTTTCTCGTTGCACTCGATTCGATTTCATATGAAAAGACGAACAAATCCAACTCCTTTGATCGTTCCAATAAATTTCCACGTAACATCCTTCCTTACCTGTATTCCTCCTCGGCGTAATCCGGAGGGAAGAGATGCCAGGGTGCGTCGTAATAATCGTCGTATCCGTTTGCCATTTTCCACTTCCCCTCTGTCACTGCCTCTTTCCTCTCTCTCTCTCTCCCTCCTCCCTTTTTTCTCTACGTAATTATCTAGATTTAAAACGGTCCTCGCTCCACGAAATCTCGCGAGAAAATCTTCCGCTCTTCTGCTCTCGTTCAACCTCGGAAACGACTGATCTTTGGCGACGAGTTCATTCGAAAGGATATTTCTCATTCACAAAATTTCTTACGAGCCAAGTTCACAAGTTCAATGAATCATTTAAAATTCATTAATTTGAATATTATTGATTCGTCCCCGGCTCGTCCATCAAACTTCCCCTATTGTTTCACGATTCTTCTTCGAGTTTATTTATTTTTCTCTTCGATTTCAAATTAAAGTTAATGGTTTTTCGATCAATTATGCACAATTTATACACTTGATTTTGAGACGAGGAGCATTCTTTTTTAACTCTGAGGTTAAAAGATTTGATTTTTTTTTTTTTCTTTCGATGAAAATGTAAATCACAGACGAGACACAATCGGGCGAATTGACAATTTTCGAAATTCTTTCAGCTCTTCGAGGTAAACCGCAATAGGTACTCTCAATCACTGAGAACTATACGTGGATATATCGATCACCTATATATTGTATCGAAAATATGGCTACCAGATAGGAGCTCAGGCAACGTTATCTGTTCGATAACACCCTATATAGATTAGTTTGACTACCGTAACATCAGAAAGGTCCAAACGATATCGGGTTCTCCATTGGTTCGATACGCATACGCCAAGGAAAATTTTATTAATTCATTCATAACAATTTCTATAAATATTCCTTGCATCTACTCAATTTTCCATCTTTACTTTTTTCCATCAAACCGTTTATTTGGTGTAATCATTCTTCGTTGGTTTATTTCACTTGCTCTTGTAAATATGGTACCAAGGAATATTTTATTAGATAATTTTGAGATTTTGGATTAAATCTACTCCAAATAATTGCAATCCAACTTGTGATCCAACATCGTTGATATCGATTAATATGTTAAATATATTCAAAGCTTAAAAGCATAGTATATAAATATCAATAGAAATCAATCTTGGAAATAATTGGTGACAATAAACGTGATATTTTAATTTACAATAAGATTTGAAATTCCCCGTTAAGAGCAAGATGTTTATCGTTGCCATCGTTGTCATAGAAAAAAAGAGAGAGAGAGAAAGAGAGAGAGAGAGAGAAAAAATGTCGTCGCGAAATAGAAAAATACTGGTGTAGGAAAGAAAAAGAAATATACGTATAATAGATTGTCGTCGTATCTTTCACGTGTGACGGTTTCACGATATCTCGGACCAATGGTAGTGATCTGTGTTACTGTTTCTATGCTAGCCTGACACGAAAAAGATCCCAATAGATATCCCGTGCGAGTATATTTTATACTTGTCATTATTTCGTAGTATATAGCTATACATCTTTTTTGACTTTGCTTCCTCTTTATTGTAACTTAATTGCTTAATTCAATGTTCGATAACATTGTGATTATTTCAATGTCTGGACACATATCTCGTACACGTGTGTATTTTGTACGCCAATTTTCGTGAGTATGATGTTTGTTAATAATTAACATTTAGATAAATTAAGAAGATTAGAATTCAAGATCTATTACAAGTGTATCTATTTTAATGAAATAAAGAGTAATGAATGAGATAAATGAGATATCTACCGTTATTAAATTTGGAATAGGAAATTCCTTCCACAATTTCCTCGAATAAAAGATATCGTCGCTTGTACCATTTCTGTTTCTTCGATAATGATATTCAATGACAATATCAATGATAATATCCATCCACTTTGCATCTTTTCGAAATCCTCCAAATAAATTCCTCGACTATCGAGTATGCATAAATCCAAACACGGGAAGGAAACGTTTTATCAGTGCACTCGTAGCAGCCTCTGTTCGGTAGCACTTGTCGGTTAAGCCTGGATACTTCACCTCGAGGGTCTCTTGTCATTAACAAATTGTAAGGTAGAAACCAAAGTAAGACAACCGAATCGAGAGTAGAAACAATTAATTATCTGGCGGGATGAGCATTCGTTGTTCTTGACATTTAAAAACATCTATCTCTGAAGGTTAGACGAGACACGGTTATCAAGATTATCCCTTCGATCGCGAAAAATTCCTTGTTTCTCGAGGGGAATCGTTCTTTTTGGCACGGATAAAAGACTCGTTTCGATGAAATGTTCGATGGAATATTCCTTCGTCGAACGATCAGCAAATTTTTCGACAATGAAACGTGGGATCGAGAATTGAATATTTTCAAAATTTCGTTCATATTTGAATTATTCTCGAGAATCATGAGAGTACATTTTGCAAGTGCAGCGTTGTGATTGTAGAGAAAATTATTGGATATTTAATGTTGTGATTTATTTATATAGAAATATTTTTAAAAATTTCACTTTTGTGTAGAATATGATTATGATGATTAGAAGAGAGGTGAGACTTGAAATTTTTAATTTCAAAAAGATCGTGAAATGATCATTTATTTGTTTTGTTATGGATGTTGGAGAACAACATTAGATGATTGTATTGATATTACGATGGAAGAATTCATTGTTTAAATGAATGTTACAGACAAAGAATCTATAGATATATCAATGTAAATGAAAAGGTACAAATATTTTAAGATTAAATGGTTTTTTCAGAAGCACTTAAAATTTTGTTACGAGATGTTAGAATTCACTATTGTACAACACACGATAGCAGAACTGGAATTACAAATAAAGAAAAAAAGATAAGTCCAATATTTGTTGATTTCATGATTATGATAGTACTTGATATCTAAAAAGTTCGGTATGTATCATTTAATCCGAAATAATTGAAAAAGAGTGACATCTTATTAGATCCGACGTTCAATTAAAAAAATGTGACAATTTAAAAATAATCTAAAAATAATCAATTTATCTGAACTACGAATTTTCAAAATTACCAACATTCACGAAAAAAAAATCATAAATTACTCACCTTTTTTCGTTCCATACTCTCAACATAAACACATCCCTTAATAAAGCATCAAGCATAAAGAATTATGAAAACTTTCTTTCAATAAATTCGATACAGTTTCCAAGAGTCCAAGGAAAGTATAAATTTCCTCTCGAAATTAATTAAAATAATTAGATAAATTTTTTTTTTATTTTTTAAATTTCACATGTGATTGTTCGTGATTCGAGAAGAATCAAATTGTTTTAAATGCAAAGATAAAAAATATATATATATATATATATTTCTGTTTTCGTTTCAAATATATGGTCACTGCAATTCATGTTTCTTTATCACGACTAATTTGTGGGATAATTCTTGGTGACCGACAAAACACGATCGGCAGAACGATCACGTCACGAGCTTTCTTCCGTTCATTTTCTAGGACAGTGTAACGCACTTATCTGTCCATCGAGCACATGCACGACATATGGGCCGTAATCTCAACTTATCGTGATTGACGATAAGGGATATTTTTTTTTCGCAAGAATGAACGCTCCGTATCTGTGTTATTAATATTATGACCAATATAATAATGCCTCGATCGGCTATATTATTGCACAAAACTTATATACAACAATTTATATCCATTCCCAACGCTTTGAAATATAGTACTCGTTAAGATTTATTGGCTATTGAATGAATGAGAGTACGCGATCCTTGTGTCTGAGATTGAAACTATTGAAAATTTTGACAAGAGAACATTTCATTTTTAAAATTCTTCGATGATTTTGTTGTATTCGTAATTTTTCTTTTTTTTTTTTTTTTTTTTTTTATCTATTTTACATGTGTAATTTCATTGCACATTTGAAGAAAGGGAGGATTTAATTAAAGGATTAACGCGCTTTTTCGTGTTTAAATGTTCATTGATTCGATTTAAATAAATTTTAAAAGTGTGTGTACTTTTTTTATATGCAAAAAATTTGTAAAAGTGTAAAAAAAAACATGGCAAAGAATCGAACTTCGGTTAAATTGTAATATATAGGGTGTTTTAAGATAAGCGAGCATTCAAAATGGCTGCTAAATCGCGATAAGAATTGTAATTAAAAATTTGTTTGATCATAAAAAGGAAGATATACCATTATTATTATTATGTGTCGTGCCTTTATATCTTTTAATTGATTACAATTTTTTTTTCTTTTTCTTTTTTTTTTTTTTTACTTTAATCTATAATCTAGAAATTCATGACAGTTATTAATAAAGGTTCAGTGAAAATATAATGTGTATTAAGATGAGTTTAAAATATTTTACTTTTCTACGATCGATGATAAGTTGATATAAATAAATATTTCTTAAATAAATAATAATTATGCATAATTCGCAAAAATGTTTCATTAAAAAAAAATTGTATCGATAAAAATTTTATCGTTTCCTCTAATTTCCGATTTTAAAATAAAGAAACTTTTATCATTCAATTTTTACTTCTTTTCCATCGTTAGTGAAACATCTTTTTCTTATTATATACATTAATCCATCCGATATTTGCCATTTCTTCTCGTAAAATATAATCATATTTGTCAACGAATCCATTAAGATTTATCAAATTTGTGCAATCTGAAATGTCTTCGATTATTTTTAAATCTATTTTACATCGAGCCAGTTACAAAAAAATTTAAATTCGTTTAAATTGAAGATTTCGTAAATACGAAGACGTTAGATTAAATAATATATTCACGTAAAATAAATTAAAACGTTTCGTGATAACGATTCGATGTATTTGTGCGACGAGATAGAAATATTAATTACGGGATGACGTTCGTCGAATTTTCGCGATCGAGACGATCGGAATCGAAGAATGATAAAACAACGATGGTATAGAAAAAAGAATCGTTTGAAAAAATATTTTTCAAAGGATTCAAAAATATCTTTTCAAATTTTTTTTTTATTATTTTCCAATTATTTGAAGAGAAAGTGTTTTTACGGGAAATATAAATTGTAATTTTGGAAAATAATGATTTTTAAATGGATATAATTTTTCTTCTTATAAAATTTTCTTAAGAAAAGAAAATTAGCGTCTGTGTGTAACAATTATTTATAAATATACAATATATATACGATATATAAACAGAAAATTATTTCAGAAAAACAGAAGAAAAATTTATAATACATTATAATTTTCCTTGAACCTATGATCAGTAACAAATTCAATAAATATTCAGTGATACTGTTTATGTAATAGGACAACCAAAAAGCTTCTGAGTATCTGTACTTTTTTTTTTTTATTCACAATTGTTTAAACCTTCCTTAAATTCTATTCTATTCTATATTTTTCAATTATTATTTCTCCCTTAATTATTAACCATTGTCTACTAAGAATAGCTCGAACTTTCATTCTGGTTGGTTATTTTTATTACCCACAATCGCACATGAAACATTGCAATTGTATGTCAATTATCTCACGAGCGAGAGTGTGAAAACGATAACATGGTCCGTATTTTGAGCAACGGTTGTGGAAGTTTACACCGAGGCTTAATAGATCAGACTTTTTGCTCAATATTTCACAAGCGGCCAAAAACTCTCTCGTCCTCCCCATCGTTCGACCATTATCTCCCATTATCTGCCATTTTTTTATCGTGTTATAACGACATAATATTTCGATTCGAACGAAGCTTTCATTTTTTTTTTTCAAAATGGATCCGTGCAATGGATAACGCCATTGATAGATTTACTTCGTGATTAAAACTGAAGATTAGAACGGAAAAGTTTGAATTGTTTCGAGAAATTTTTATGCAACGATCTCTCTCTCCTTTTCGTTTCAATGATTAATCGAATTGTGCATCGATCGATGAATTTTCGAGGAACAAATTAGAATCGTAGAATGTTTCTTTCTTTTGGATTTAATGAAATTTTTAATTACGTATGTATTGTTGCATTATTATTTCGAGCATGTTTGGAATACGTGTATTTGGAAGTTGCTGCATAACGTTTTTCTTTCTTTTTTCTTTTTTTTACTTTTTGTAAAACAAATATGTTATTTATTCAGCTTGTTTCATTACAATTATTCAGTAAAAAAACAAAACGGACAACGAAATTACAACGAACTTGCTTCGAGGAAAACCGGTGATTAGAAAAGTTTTTTGATATTTTTCGAGAAAAAAATTCTTCGTCTTCTTTATAGTACAAATAATCGATCATCGCGATGGAACGATTTCGCGATACTTCTACTTCTTTTCTAATTTCAATTGTTATTCGAATAAATAATAAAAATAAGCCACAAGCATCTCGTGGCTTAAGTATATTATTAAGAAAATCACAGTGAAGGAACTTTTAAGAGGGAACAACGTCTCCATCTATGTTCACTGTTCGGTCCATGTAGGTTTATTGCGGCCATATTTTTTCGACTTGTAATAAGATTTCCCTTGTACGCTCGAATAACTCTCTTTTGAAGGAGAACTACGTGTTCTCGATAACGCAGAAACAGTTTCTGATGCGCGCGTATCCGAGGAATACTCTTTCGAGGGAGAATTACGAGATTTCGGTAGTGTAATTGCTTCTGAACAACTCTCTTTCGAAGGGGAATTACGAGATTTCGGTAGTGTGATCGCTTCTGGTGTTTCTGAACAACTCTCTTTCGAAGGGGAATTACGAGATTTCGGTAGTGTGATCGCTTCTGGTGTTTCTGAACGACTCTCTTTCGAAGGGGAATTACGAGATTTCGGTAATGTAATTGTTTCTGGTGTTTCTGAACAACTCTCTTTCGAAGGGGAATTACGAGATTTCGGTAACGTGATTGTCTCTGTTTGAGTTTGAGTTTTCGAGGGACTCTCTTTCGAAGGATTCTCTTTCGAGGGACTCTCTTTCGAAGGACTCTCTTTCGAGGGAGAGCTACGAGTTTTCGGTGACGTGGAAACTTCTGACGCGCAACATTCCGAGGAATTCCCTTTTGAGGGAGAGCTACGAGATTTCGATGACGTGCAGACTTCCGAGGAATTCTCTTTTGAGGAAGAGCTATCAGATTTCGGTAAGGTGCAAGCTTCTGTGTCACAGGTCTCTTTTGAAGTTTTCTTCTCTTCGATATCTTCTGAGCTTGGTTCTGAAACTGTTGGTTCGATATCAGGTTTATTTAATTTTAAATAGTTACAATTGATATTTTGTCGATATTACGATTTGGTTATATTCAAGATTAAATTTTCTAGTTGAAGATGGGATTATGATGATTTCTTGCTTCGATTTGAATTGATTTCGACACAAAAGTGAATAATAAATTATCGTAATTGAAATACCTGTGGATTGTTGCAACGTAGAATTTATTTCTCCATTGATGAAGTCTTTGATCATATTGCTCGCCTTTTCCACCGCTGATTCTAAAAGGAACAAAAATTTATTAGATAAATCTTTCATTCAAATTCGTCGATCAATTCGCATTGCACATTTAAACTACGCATTGACTTTATAAATTAAAAGCACAAATTTAGACAAACAAATTGCCACTTAACTTGTCGAAATCCAATTTTTCTAAGGGATTCTTCCTTAATTACGAACACGAAAAAAAAACAAATAAACAAACAAACTATTCTTTACACAAGATGGAACTAGTTTTGCATTCTCAACATATTTTCTCTTCGTACAATTTCTTTGTCGTTCCAAGATCTTTCGACTTCAAACTTGCTCGAATTCATAAGCAAAAATTCATAGCAAAAAATCCTGGAACATCGTGGGAGTACACGTGTATTTCAAATTTCTTCTAATAAATAAAAACGTCTAGGATAAGGCTGTCGAGAAGACATGGTCGACGAGACACATTTCACATTTCACATATATATATCTTTATCACATGTATCTTTATTCTGATTATTCAATTTTTGTCTGACATGGGATCGAGCCTCGGCTGGAAGAACGGTTCACCAGAACGATCGGCTCGATGGGAAGTGCAATTGTTCCGGTGAACTACTCGGCCAGCCGTGGCTCGTGTAAAATCGTTTCGTAGTCCTCGTCGAACTCCTTTGCCGACGAGTACACGGACTCACCAGAACTGTCCACGCCCTCGAGTTTCCCGTCATCCTTCGTTTCCTTGTCCTTCATCGATTTCGCTATCTGCAATTTCTAAATAGAAAGAACACGTGTTGTATAAAGTGTCGAGAAAGAGACAAAGACTATTAAATGTTTAATAAGTTTAATTAATGGTCGATCGTTAATCATGAGACAGAAATTTTTGGATGCAACTTTTGATCTGTGTATTTCTTTTTTGGAGAATTTTTTGAATTGAATTGAAGCGAAAATCGTAAGCGAATTATATGTCAAGTATATATGAAAAATTGTTAAAAATATTTTTCATTGAGAGTACTCGATGGAGTATCTTATTAATAATTCTCGAGAGTAAAATGATTAAAAATATATTTGTTAATAATTCTTTTGCATTAGATAGTGTAAATGGGTGTTCTTTAATTGATGGTATAATCTTGAAAAATTAGAAAATAAAATTCTCGAAAATAAATATATCAGTATTTTGTAAATTAAGATTAATTAACGAATTAAGATTTTTACTTGTTTGTTGTATTGGGTAATGGAGATAAAAAGATAGGATACATTCGCATGTGATAAATTTTATTGCTTTTAATTTTAAATTATTAAAAATATTTGAATGTCATATTCTATAGATTACACAGTTCTTTATAATCAATCTTCCAATATGCAAAACATATCTATTTTTAAAGGACTGTTTATGTTACAAACTTCGAATTTTATTATTTAAGATCAAATTCAAATGAAAAATATTTATTTTTGTATTTTATTAATGATCTATGCTGTTTCTCGTGATAAGATAATTACATGCAATAATTTTTTCTCTTAAAATAACGTATGTAAAAATTACGTATATCATGTATATTTATATACGATCAACTACGCATATGAATTTATCTCCATCATTTCCAGAGTTATTGACGTAAACTTACCAAGTTTTTTTTTTTCATTTCTAATTGCTTTCTTGCATATTTATTATGTAATTATTATGCAAATCGCAAATTTTTGTTCTATATTTTTTCTTCTTTTTAATTTTTTTTTTTTTCTACCCAAACTATCCACTTTTAACAAATTTTAATTATACATCTATAAAAAGAAATTATTTAAATTTCTATATACTAAGAAAAAAGAAACAAAATTATTTTTAAAGCATTTTGATCAAAATTCAAATTTTATGAAATTTTCTAAGATATTTCAATATTGTCCTTTATTCGTAATAACTTTATTCCATACGACTCTATTTAAATTTAATAAAAATATTCTTAATCACATCATCTAATTAAAATCATTATCAAGTTATATAACTATATAAAATAAAAAAAAAATATATAAAAAAAATTAGAGCAATTGAAGTCAATTTTTAAAATTTTCTCACAGACATTTCATATCCACATTAAACACGAAAGACATAACGAAAACATGATTATTACGTATATTAATTTTACCAAAGACATTAGCTGGTATGTATCATCCTTCAAGAATTTGTAAGCTTCCCTCTGGATCTCGGTCGTCTCGTTAAATGATATCTCCTTGTCCACGTCGTTTTCGCTGCTCCCTGTGCTTGATTCCATCGAACAATCGGCAATCTGGAAACAATCGCAAAATTTTCTTAAAAAAATTCTCAATATTTTCTTCAACTTTGATGACAAACTTTTGTTTCAAAGAGAAAGATATATTTCACACTCGAGTCTGTGATTTTGAATTTTTTAAAAATTAATCTTTCAATATTACTTACGTTGAAATCAGAATCGTCCGTGCTGTTTTCCATTGCTAATCTTTCGAGTTTTGTACGAAATGTCTCGTTATCCGACCCATCGGAACTTTCATCATCTAAGATCTGGGAGAATTTGCGTTTCATTTCGTGGAGTACAGGACTACCGACAGATTCCGTGGTCGATTTCTCTTCTGGTGTTGCTATCTGCGATTTCATTTAAATCTTGAATAAAATATCTTACAATCAATATGAATAATAATAATTGACAATAATAATTAAGTATTTGTGTTAATAGAAACATTGAAAATTACACGTTTGAGTTGTTTTCTTTTTTTTTTTTTTTTTTAAATACTTGCTACGCACACAATTATAAAGAATTACAAAATGAATTGCTCAGATAATTGAAGACAAACACGAATGACCATACACATGATTAATAATCTTCAAATGACTACTTTTAATTGCAATTGAAAATATTCATACTATGAATAATTATAAATAGATGGAACGGAATAATTAGAAATAGAAAAAAAAATTGAAATGTTAAGAAATTATCCTTAATTAGACTTGAAATATCCTAGAAATGATTAATAATTTATTAAAAAGAATTACCGTGTCGAAATCCATTTGACCTACACGAATTTTCATCGGGGGTGGCGAGGGGGATGATTTAGACGTATCCAAACAAGACAAAGTCGACAGAGTCAATTTGATGGATCTGATCAGAGCCTTCTTGGCCTCGATCATCGTCAATCTCTTGTCCTATATCCATCACCGAGACTATTATCGTGCTAATTTTAATTATGTGTCTAAAGGCTAACCGAGTTGAAAAAAAGAGAACGTCTACTCTTTCATTGAGCTCTACGTATAAATAAAGTCGATTATTGAATCTTTAATACTTGACAATTATTAAATATCATTAATAATAATAATAGAATCCGAGATTAAGCCATTCTTCATTTTAATTAGTCTTGACCATTATATTTTTATATTGTGAAAAGAAATTAATTAAAATTTTTTTGTTATATATTTTATTTTTTATGAAATAAATTTTCTTTGCACTTTAAAAAATTACCATTTTCTTTTTCTTTTTTTTTTTTTTTGCCAATTAAAAAAAAAATCAGATTGATTCGCTATCTAGTATGAATTTTAAATGGGGCAATTAATTTCATTTTATTTGATCGTGAATTAAAAATCGTTGAATGCAACACAACTCAACGAAAGAGTACAGCAGCACTGTTAAAATCATGCAAATATGTGATTAAAATAAAAAATTTACCCAATGCTAATTTCAATAATAACTATTTATAATAATAAGTAATTACAAGGAATATAATTTTTTAAGATACGTGCATGTATAAAATTCTTTGCTAATACTACATGGGACATGGAAAAACAAATATTAATAGAGATATATATATAAAAATACATGCAATTAGAATTACAAATAGTCGATTTACCTTGGGACACGTTATTCTACGCCTCGCTTTTACTGCCTTTACGTTTATCGCTCTTAATCGTCTGCGAGTCTTTTGCACGAATTTTACCTGGAACAGATTTTTTTTTTTTTATATTAAATTTTAATTGCACAAATCTTACATTTTTTACTTTCGATACGATTTCGTTTAGCATATAAAAAAATAGAATTAAAATATAATATTTTTTAAAAAATTAAAATAAAAAATAAAATTTAATACGCTTTGTAATAATCTATCGTTGAATCTATCGTATGAAAAAGAGTATTGAAAAGTTTGTGATTTAATTATAAAATATTTTAATCGACGTCATGACATTAAAATATAAGAAATAACGTAGCATACCATTCCACTTGGTCGTATTCGTGGATAGCCCAAAATAAAAGCACCCACGTTGAGCCCACATCTGATGATTCGAAGTATCACTAATCCTGGCAGAAAGAGAAGCCATGGCAAAGGTCTCACGAGCTCTATTCTCCCAAATACTTTACCATTCTCTTCTGTTTGCCATAAATATAACAAAAAGTCCATGGATTTAAATCAAACGAATTAATTTTCAAATTTTTAAAATCAAATGGTCAAAAAAATTAATTTAAATGGCTTCGTTACTTATTATTAGATAATTAACGAGTTAGAATAATTTTTAAAAATTATTCAAATATACCAGCCGCGATTTCATGAGCAGGTAAGCTCCATTGCGTGGATTTTTCCACGACCCATAAAAACGAGTCGATAAATTTAAACAATGCTTGGCCTATGGAAGTTTGCGACACGGTGATAATCACGGATTCTATCCATCTTGTAATTCCTTCTGATTCTTTCCTGGATGTTGTCTGCAGGAAATAAGGAATGAAATTATTTTCTTTATTTTCTTTCCATTTTTCTTTCTGTTTAAATGTACACAGTGATGCCCATTACTTACGGCTACCGAATTTCTTTCATTCTCCATGGTTAAATTTGATCTGAAAATCATATAAAATTCGTTATTGAATAAAATTAACTTAATTTTAAATTTAAAAGGAAGAATCGAAGCGTAGAAATTTTCATTTTTATAATTGTATAAAAGGATTTGCATAATGTTCTTATCTAACATGTTATACACAATGTCAAATAGTCATCGTCAACAATACTATGTTAATTTATGCAAAGGATTGTTAAACAATTAGTAAAAATTTACTTCAAACACACGTAACATTTCTTTTCTCTTGATAATTATTTGACATTTGATTCATTCTCTAAATCTCTTGGAAACTATAATTTTTTAATTTATTCCTCAGCAATGAATATCTATTAATTTTAGAGCCACGATATATTATTTTTAACTTCTTAACTCATACATTATTTTTATCTTTCATTTTGTGTCTTTTACCTTTTAATTTTATATTTTTTTTTTTATTTTTTATTTCAGTAAATCTTTTCTCTATATACTCTATATTATATCTTATTATGCATATATACACACATTCGACAAGTACGTATCTACCCATGTACAAAATAAAATATAGCAAGTGATCAAATAATTATTATTGAATAAAAGAAATAAGTCATAAATTATATATTTTCAATTCCACTCAAATAACTCGATAATTTCGAAATATTCACATAATCATTTGAAAGCACAATAAATACACAATTTTCAAATTATCTCGAAATTATCGTCACTTAATAAATGAAGCGTCATTAAAGAAACACCATGTTAACAGGTTTGTTAAACAGGCTGCAAAATATTGATCTCATTGTACCAAGATTTCGAGAGTAGTAATAGAACTAGATTTATACTTTTGCCTTAAACTTTCGTGATAAAGACACGTTTTCTTATAACACGGAATCACTAATAACATTTTCGAATTTGTTTCTGAAAGTGTGGATGGGTTCACTTGGATGAAATCCTCTTTCATTAACTCGTAATGAGATGGTAATAAATAAACAATAAGAAATGCAACGGTGATAATTCGCTATCTGGAAGGCATGACCTCACATTATCGCGAAAAGAGCTCACACGCTACCATGAGTATGCCTGTTGGAAGATTCGATATTTCGTGGTGGGAAATAAAAAAAAAAAAGCAACCCTTTGTCGTTTACTTAGTAATATAATAGATTTTAATATAATTTATTTTTCGTCTTTCTTTTACGATCCTGTTTAATAATGAAAAAGTTTCCAGAAAATTCGATACATTGTTGAAAATCCTTTGTCATTTGTTCAATAATAAAGTAAATTTTAATAAAATTTATTTTTATCGTAGAATTTTTTTCCTTTTTTTTTTTTTTTGCAAAATAAAAGGAGACAAAATTTTTGGAAGATTCGATATTTCGTGGTGAGAAATAAAAGGGAAACCCTTTGTCATTTCGCTTAGTAATAGAATAGATTTTAATTTAATTTATTTTTCATTTTCATACTTTTCATTCGCGAAAATTCATGACGTTTTCATAGTAGAAAAAAATTTGGGATAGAATTTTTATAATGAAATCCATTCAAAAAAATAATAAAAAATAATAAATATTAAAAATATTAATTCGTTAACTGACATAATACCGATATTGTTATTTCTTTTATTATAATTTAAATATGTTTATTTAGAATTTAAATCAAAGAGGGCAACTGAAATGTCAAAATATAATACAATATAAGTATTATAAATATAATATAATAGAAATAATGAATTAGATCTATATTATATATATTTGAATATTGTATGTAATATTCAAATATATATAATCTTCAAATAAATATTAGATTTTCCTGAAAATTCTTAGAAATATTCTTTTTTTTAAATAATGATTCATTCAATTAAATTGCAATGAATGATTTTTTAAAATAATTATAAACTATTTTATTATCATAGAAATATTTAGATTAACACTTAACATTTTTTATCTTATTATTTTTTTATTATTATTATTATCTTATTATTTTAATTATTATTTTCTTCCTGATTTAATTTTTAATTTTACTTATTTATGTATATATAAATATAATATTAAATAAATTTTTATTTTCTTTAATTTAAACATTGATCTTCTACAATTTAAATTTTGTTTGATCAGAACAAAGAAATTTTATTATTTTTATTTCTTGAGAATTCATTAAATTTTAGAGAAATATTTCGTAAACAAAAAAGTATCTGTTAATTATTATTTTCTATATTCGTGCTTACGGTAATTAATGATTAAATTGTTAGTTTGTATATTTAATATTACGAAGTAAAGTTTTAGGTTACTACAAAACAAACATAATATCATGAAAATGAATCTCAAGGTTAATTTGAAAACTAAGATCTAATAATTATCGCAAATAAATTAGCATTAGCATTAGAATATACTAATAAGCAATAGTACAATAATAAATAAATAAAATAAACTTTGAAAAACTTAGATATACACGATGATATTATAAAAGATTAACTAATAAACTTTTAATCCTAATAAATTATAATTTAATCCTAATATATTATAATTTTTCCAAATTTCATAAATAATATGAAATTTAAATAGAAGAAATAATAATAAAGGAATGAAAGATATTGAATAAATCCTTTAAATTCCTTTTCATAATTATAATTAAACTTAAACCTAAGATTTAACATGGAAATTGATTGAAAATAAAATTGTAAATCGAAAATTTACATTAACAAAAATATATTTAAAATCAAGGCGATAATCTTGGAATAAAGATCACATGTCTTTTTTTCGTAATAATCCAAGATGATTTCTATTGAAATTTTTCGATACTGATACATCATTATGGCACATTATGGCCGCGTGAAATTTTTCTCATCGAAATCTCGCAAATAAACAATAAAGGAAACGATAATTTTGCTATCGAGAAGGCATGACCTGTTGTTATCCGCCATTGTACGACAAAATTCTTATAACGAAAATGTGAAATAAAAATGTTCAGAAATGAAAAATATAATTTGATAACGAGAGTTACGAGGGTAGGCAAACGATTATTTTTTCGGATTATTGAGGAAAAAAGAGAGTAGAAAAATGAACTTTGAAAGAGGAAATATAAAATATGATATCGTGATTGAATATTGTTATATTAATTTTATTATTTTTATGAATATTTGAGTGATTATGATAATCACTATCTACATAGAAATCCATTGATTTCTTTATTTTTTTCTTCAATTAAAAATTTATAATCCGATGAATTTTGTGGAAATTTTAATATTTATAATACATGTATATATTATATTAAATATAATATGTATGTATGACCTTTTATATTACTCTAAAATGATTTTTTTTTGGATAAACTTTAAGTTTACATATGTTTTATAAGAAATCAATATGTAAATTATGTTACATATTAATTATATTTTAGGATAACAATATTCAACACGATATTTATTATTTTTCATAGTTTGTATTTGTTACTGAAACTCTATTACTAATTGATAAAAATTATTATTTTAACATTATATATAATTATCGTTTTTGTGATTCATTATTTTCCTATTAATTCCAGAAACGTTTAATAGAAAGATAAAATACAAAGTAATTATTTACTAATAATAATATAATTAAAGCAATTAGAGGGATATAAATTTACACACAGATAAACATAAATATAAACATAAACACTAGTTCAATCACAGATAAATTTAATTCTTTCGATCTTGTAATTTAAAATTTATTAATTTATTATTTCTAGTTATTAGAGAAAATAATTATTTAAAAATTACTTCATTTATAACGTTTCAAAATTAATAAGAACATATTTATCTTATTTATTTATTTAAATGATAATTTTATAGATTATCAAAAAAATAAATTCGACGTTATCTCTTCGAATTTTTTCATATTTTCTTTATATCTAAATATAATTTATAGATTGATAAATAATTAACGATTAAATTTAACATATACGTGAAAAATGGTAACGAAACTCACCAAACGATAAACCATAAGGCAAAGTAACTTCCATCAACGCTGTTCGCCAAGCGACTACACAAGAAAGCCTCTCAGAATCCCGTTTTTCTGTTGTTTGGGTCGTCGAGGACAGAATACATTAAACGGTTACCAAATCGAAACGAATCATACGAATTCGAAATTCTCTCTACTCGAAAAATGAAATATATAAATCATTTATTGAAATAATCATTTAATAAAAATCATTTATATTGATTATTATTACAATTCGATATTATTGTAAAAATATTATCTTCAATTATTTTAAATATTGGCATTAAAAAGATGAAAAAAATTCACTTAAAAATCTCTTTATCATTAGAATCAATCGACATCAAATTTGTTAAAACGATTAATTTTTGTAACAAGAAACGAATTAAAAGAAAAGAAAGAAAAGAATTAAAAAGAATTAAATTATAAAAAGAATTAAAAAAAGAAAAGAAAGAAAAACACGATCAAAATCGAGTAATTTCTCAATTCTTAAAGCAATTTTTATCCACGAAAGACATACAAGAGATCAAACAGTATCGAATAAAAAAATGAATTAAACAATTCAATGTGAAATCATTCTTAATCAATTATTAAAATTAAAAAATAAAAAAAAAAGGAAAAAAAATAAATTACTGCGATTATTTTCAAACATAAGACAAAACCATCCCTTACTCTCAATCAAGTTCAAACTTAATAAATACATTAAATTATCATTATTAATAAAAAATAATTATTCTTCCAATCAAAAGCCCAAAATAAAATTTACCTCAACGATAAACATATCTAGGCTTAATCGACATTAACATCGAACTTTATACCCCCATTCGATCCAAGTCACTTCAATCCATCATCCACGAAAGCCTCGCAAACGAGGGTTGAAAGGCGATCGACTCGCGACTGGCGCACGCCATCGACTTGGATCACCATCAAGATGACCGCAGATCATTTTCATAAAAAGCCGCTCTTACGTAACTTCAAGGTTCTCACTTCCTACCGTAACCGCGAGAAAATCGAACAGAACGACAAATCGAGTAAAACTTATCGAATTTCCAACAGAAGCTTATACATATATACATATATATATACTGTAGCGAATCTTACCTGCTTCAAAAATGGCGGCGATCGAACGCCGGATGGTTTCTTCCAGGAGCTCTTCCTTCGCCCCTTTCACGTCACTTGTCGCTTTGTTCTTATGGCCGACTTTCCTTCCTATATTTTCTTCACGCGAGGAGAAATGATCGCGACACGCACGATCCACCACGGACGACGATTCACTGGAACTCTATTCACGATGGAGGATCGCCATCCGCCGGAACCTTTGGCCTGAGTCGTATCTTCTTCGTGATCACGCGCGCTCAGACCAAAGAATTCGCCTGTTTCCGCCGTTTTCGTGGATTTACACAAAATGAACGAAACTCGGTTGCTTCGGTACCGATGTTGGTGTTCTGATGCAACGCGGATAGATGGACACGAAATGATGGTGGTTGATGATCCATGTGTAGGTTGAGGAACGGTTGGAATGGATGTTGAAAGAGTTTGAAGATCACGTATTGTTTGATGAAGTTTCTTGAATGAGTTTGTGTGCGATTTGGTCGTGATGATTGGAAAAGAATGCGTGGTTGGAATTGTCCTTTGATTTTTTTTGAAGAGAAAGAATATGATGTACGATTCGTTTTTTAAATTGGAAATGTAAGAGTATTTGGAAAAGGAAATAAATGAGAGTTCAGTGAAAATTCTATGACACTAATTCATTTGTACATTTTTCTATTATAAATTTTCAATTTATCAAAAAATTCTTTTAATCGAATTAATATTAAAATATATATCGAAGAAAGATAGGAATACAGAAGTAATCTCTTGAATTGATAACTTTTTGAATGAACTCATTTCGTCAAGTTATATATTTATAAATATATAATTTTAAAATATGATATCTGAAAACTCTTAATCGTAATCATTAATGAAGGATACCTGAGAGAAAAGAATAATTAATATCTTTTTTATTTTATTTATTGTAATTCTGTTATTAATAGGAATTTTCATTTTTCACGATGAGTATTTTAAGAAAATCCAAAGATAACGATAAAAAATTATCTCAAAGTGTTTTTTGTTGATTTGCATAGTATTTGTATTTCTTTTACATGAATTCTTTATTCACTTTACAAAATACTCTCATTTCTTTATATTTTTTTAAAATTTAATATTATAAATGTTAAAATCAGCCTTATAAAATCGTAGCAAGAATGGCAAATGTTTAACTGAAATATAATATGAAGGAACAGTTAATTGCAATAAATTAAAAACACATAAATCTATACATATTATAATATAATAATATAAAATTTGAAACATCACAAATTGACTCAGATGTATTTTCAATATATGTGATGATCAAAAATTTTTAGAAAAATATACATCACTTATTATGTAATAAACAATTGAAAAATTAAATAATTAAAAATTATTTTGTTCTTAATAATAATAATCTCTGAAAATTTCATAAAAAGTTATATATATAAAGTCATACAATTAGATAATATTGAAAAATAAAAAAAGAAAAAAAAAAGTCATGCAATATTGAATCCTATTAAACATTTATTACCTCATAATTAAAAATTTCAAATTTTTGAAGCACATTCTTGCGATTGATCGCTGTAAACGCACACATAGAGCAATGAACGTAGCGCAAGTTAAAATGCGTCGTGTACTTTTTTCAAAATCGTTGCATATAATTAATACGAGCATTACATTTTATACAATGGAAATAATAATAACAATAATAATCGACGCATTATTTTAATATCTATGATTAATCTTTAAGAGAAAATTTAAAATATCAAATACATAAAATTGTTTCTTGCTTTAATTTAAATCCTATGTTTTTTAAAATACACGTGCCAAGCTACATCGCAAACTTAGCAAATAATATGTGTATAATTTTGCTTACTTTTGCTTGCTTGATTTTTACCTCTTTCGCTCGTTATCTTTCACTCATTCTCCGATCATACAATTTTATAAATTTTCTTCGTTAGTTTTTCTTCATTTTTATTTCTATTTATTTATTCATTTATTTTTTTAATTGTTTCATTTGTTGTCTGTTCAAAAGCTAAGCGTTTCTTTGCGCTTGCAATGTAATTTTTTTATCAATTATGTCGTATTACTTTGAGAGATACACTTTGCATTTGTTCTCTAAATAATTCGAGTATTTCTTCTGTAATCTCAAGTTTATCGCTGCTTTTTAAGGCCATTCTCGTTCTGAAAGACGGATTATGGAGATACGAAGATGTTCGCGTATCTACTCGCGTGAAATAAATTACTATCTTTGCAAAAATGAATCAGGCGCATTGATTCAAAATCCAATGTCCAAATCGAACAATCTTTCGCATCTCCAAAATATAGTGGAAACAGAAATGAATATCGTCGTCGTTTCATTTATTCGTAATCATATTATTTCTCGATGATTATTTATATTTTATTTATATTTCCATATTGTGTCGCTCGTTTAGATTTTAAATTGCAATCATTTCTACGAGTTTTACAATTTTTTTATGGAAACATAATGTATGTATTGTTTCATTAAGTTAAAAAAGAAGAAAAAATCGAAGGTATGTATAAAACTTAGGAAATTCAATTTAATGCGTTTCGTGAATCAGTTTTCGACATACATCATATATCGTTTTACATTTATGATCAATGCAAATAAATGTTAACAATGACTTGGAACAGGTTTGAAACAGTTATACTATAGATTATGCGTTCATACAATCTATAATTTCGAAGAATTACAAGGTACGAAAGGACGAGATTTCATCTATTTATCGATAAAAACAATAGTGCATTTACAAACAAAAAAACACTCACACATTATTGAACATAGTTAACATAAAATTACTGTATAACAAACTGGATTCAGACAACTTGTCAGGTAATCTGCATCCAAAAATATTTGTTCATTTTTTCCTTCGTATTTTGAGATTTGTCGATGTTCAAAGCTCTACCGTTATTTTAATTACGATAAAGAACTATGACAATATATGAACTGCTAATTCTGTTTTCATTCTTAATAATTACTTTTCGTAGAGTACAAGTTATTCAAGTGCATTATTTAACGTACTTTCTATCCTAATTATACGTGCGAATCTTTTAATGAACTCTCGGTGAACGTTTGTAACGAAATGAAGGCGAAAATGCTTAAATAGCTTTACAAAGTAGCTTATCAATTATGCGAAGGGTACTGATACTGGCTCACAAATAGATAATAAACTGAAACGCACTTGGACAATTTGCTGTCGTACTTTTTATAATGATTGTACAAAATGTAAAGTTAATATTCTTCCTCGTCATCGGGCGCGAGACCATCTCCTTCCAATTCTTCTGGTGGTGCAAATCCTTCCTAAATAATTAAAAAAAAAAAAAAAATAACAACAACATAATGTAATAGAGTTTTGAAATTTGATATTATGGACATAATAGAACCTCTATTCTAGATTTACGATCCAAAAAAATTAAATATAAATTCCTATAAGAATTGTTGTTAGACATGTGCATTACTCTAGGAGAATATATTAACTTTCTACAGTGATTCCAGTTTTTAGTTAATTATCTCGATTATTCAGATTCTCTTAATACTAAAGAAATCTTATTTTATTTTATTTTATAATATTTTCAATGTAAAATATTATTGATGCTGACAAATCAAAGAAAAAGTAAAATGTAATAATTATTACAGTGAGAAAATTTTAAATTTTGAAATCTATTTCCTGAGAATATAGAAGTTTCAATTGTAAATTTATCGAAATTCTCTCACATACCTCTGTCGCATAAAGGACTTCTAATATTTTCTGGACTATTGGTGGAGGATCTCCATTATCACAATCTTGGCACATAACTTCGATATCACGCAATTTTCCGAAGTAGAAATCTCTTTCTTTCTCCAATCCTTCCAAAGACATTTTTAATTCCATCACCTGTAAAAAAATTATACAATAAAAATATGAAATTATTTTGTACGAATAATTTGATTTTCCTATGTATACCTGTGCACTGAGTTCTTCAACTTTTCCAGCTTCGCCGCGGTTGCCAACTCCTGTTTTCGCTTGTGGACGATGAGCTGGAGCTTTGGTAACTAAATACAAAATTTGATGTATTATTTTTAAATATTTATTTTTTTATTAATAATTCTACAGATGCAATATAATTAATGTATTTACATATATTACAAATCACAAGTAATTATATTCTCTTAATAATAAATATTTTAATATTAAAATTATATTGTATAAACATCTTTACAAATTGTGTAGTTATGTATATTAATTATAAAAACCATAATAATTTATAAAGACAATTGTACAATAGAAAATGACAAAAGGCATGCATTAAAACAATTATGTACAGCACTTATAATTAGCAAATAAGTAAGCAATGACTACATAATTTTTCAAACAATTAAATGAAGAATGGACAATTAAAATTATAAATTTTTTTTTACAATTTTGAACTACCTTTCCTGTGTTATTATTTTACAAGAAATTTTTTTCAAATTTATTGGATACCCTTCTCTAAACCTTGAATTATAAAAATCTAAAGAAATAAAAAAACAAGCATAAAAATATAAAAAAAAAAAACAAAAATAATTACGAGTGTCGTTTAATGTAGGTACGGGAAGATCCGTTGTATGTGTCTTACCTGAAGCGAAATTTTCTTCATATATTACTAGGACTCACAAGCTTATTGTTTTTTTATATGTATAGTTTAAATAAACAAAATTTGTATAGAAAAAAATAAATAAATATTTGATTATATAGTATGTAGCAATTTCTAACTTGTTATTTATAATTGTTATTTTGAAGCAAAACCAGACTATGCTGATTGCAAATTAAAAAAGAAGTCAATGTTAATTTCATGATTATTTTTAAAAATAATTATTTAAGTTATGTTTAAATTTATAAATATAATTTTCAATTTTATAAAAAAAAAAAAAGTTGTGTGAAATAATGTACCAATACGAGCAGACGGTTTAGCCGAATTTACATCACGTGGAGTAGTGCGTTTTGTATTAGTGCCATGTGGTGCATTACTTCCACCAGAACCCATGGGCTCTCCTCCTCGCATAGCAAGTGCATCGTATGGTTCTGTTCTTGAGTAGTTTGCATCAAAAAATTTCTTGAACCATTGTAAAAACTCAAAGTTGTCTTGGAACCTGCCTTTCACCAGTTTATCAATTGGAACAATCTGTAAATGATTGCAAAAAAAAGCACGTGGAACAAAATATATTAAATAAATAAAATAAAAAAGGACCTAATTTTTTATAAAAACTTAAAATATAAAATAAAAGAATTAAATATGTTAAAAAAAAAATAATAAAAAAAAAAATAACGAGTTTTAGGAAATTTTATTAAATTATAAATTTGATAAAAAATTATTAAATTAAATATATATATATATATTTAATTTAATAATTTAATAATATATATATTATATATATATTCAAGAATTTAATTGAGAAATAATGTAAATTTAATAAATTTTAATAAAATTCTAAATTTCATATCATATTGTATATCAACAAAGCTTGTGCTTCCTACAATTGATATAGTATGAAGATTAAAGAAAATCCAGCTTGCTCTATTCTCCTAAGACAATCTGTTACTCCCCACTTGAATGTATTTATAGATTGTTAAAAATAACAGTCATGATACCATTCTACTACTACAGTAAATAACTGTCTTAAAAATTGTATTTATATGTTGATGAAAATAAACAACATGCTGTTTATATTTAAATTATACTTAAATTATATGTAATAATTACTATTGCAAAAATAAACATAATGAAAAAATAAATATTTGCTTATTTATAAAATGATTAAATAATATATAAAAATATTGTGCTATAAATAATTTCAATTTGCATAATTATAAATTTTGTGATTAAGATTGCAAAAGCAAATAGTGCTTTCTACTATTAATATACATTAGATACTTTATAAGTGCAATTACATATAATTATAATAAATTTTGATGCAGCATTTAATTATATAATTTTTCAAACTATATAGATAAAAATATATTACATGCAAAAAGCAACATTATTAAATTGACACATCATATTATTGTACCCTGTTGACGAGGGGTAATATTACGTTGCTGTGTATGCTTTTGCTGCATTTGCGTCTGTTTTGATTGAGGTGGTAAAGGTACCAATTGAGGATTTGACAAATTATGAGTTCCATCAACACCAGAACCCAATGGTATACAACCACGTGCTTCATAAGCATCATACTCGCGGCCATCATAATTTGCATCAAAGAATTTCTTGAACCATTGTAGAAATTCAAAATTGTCTTGAAAGCGGCCTTTTACCAATTTGTCCACTGGTATTACCTGAACCATTTTCATAATAATAAATTTAATGTAATTTTATACTTATTGCACTTTGTATAACACTTTTTAGTGAAGCAACATGATTCTATATATTATCATACAGAGTATATCTTGATTCAGTACTTTACCTTACCTTGACATAAGTAATGTTGTTTCATTGATATCTACATTAAACTATTATGTTTTCTAAGTTTCCTAACAAGTAAAATTTCATAAATATAAATTATGCTTTTAGTTTTCATAACATTATTGTCAATCTTACATTTTTTGATTAAAATTAAAGTTACACAAATATTAAATATTAAAATATCTTAATGATTGAATTTAAAGAAATTTTCGGATAATTAAAAATATTTTATATAGAATTTATAATAACTCTAGAATTTATAATAAATTCTATATACATTTATATTATTTACCTTATCTACATTCATCTTTTTGAAACCACCTTGTAAAATTTTAAAATTCTGTATATATTCATGCTCAAGGTTAGTCTTGAATTTGACCCTCTTCAATGGCACACTTCCAGGAAAAAGCATGTCCATGAATTGACAATAAACAGCTCCAGTACATAATTCTTCAATCTTGGTGAATGATGATTGAAGGCAGTCATTTACCCATGCCAACATATCATGTCGACTTAAGTTTTCAGTTGTCACATTTGTTGCATAAACATTAACAGCCATATCTGTATTCTTCTTTTAAATAACTAAAATATAATGATTAAAAAATTAGAAAAAAATGTATAAGTAAATTATATGTTATCAATAACTCGTATAATATAAAACATATATTAACATATAGAAACAACAAGTTCAAAAATCATCACTTAACACAGTGACTTAATATAACAAATTGATCAATTATAAAACGATTACTGATATCATTTGAACGATTGATCTCGAAGTAGACTTAAAAGGAATAACATTCCATTCACTTTTTTGGCTCGAAACACTGACCGACGACATATTCGGGACCTTTCTTCCACATGCCTCGATTTCAATGTATGCATATTTTTGTAACACTTAATACTAGTATTTGATTCGAACCATAAAAATAAATTTTGGAATCTTTATCCTATTTTTTTATGTCTAAGATATTCATAAAATAACTTACCGAGTATCGCAGAAACACCGTAACACCAATCGGGAGTGGTTCCCGCACGCAAATGACAAATGTATACTAGATCGTTCAAATGCGCATACAACGGAAATTTCTAACGGTTTCTTCAATAATGATTGGACGATACACATGTACTGCAATAGATATTTCACCAAAAAATCGAACAATTATTACGAATATTTTTCTTTTGTGCTTTTTTTCAAACACATTTATTTTTACCACGTATTCGATCTTGCTATTCTATCGAATCGACCGCGTAGCAACAAAATTTTCATGCGTCTGTCAATGGAATTAACAAACGAACACAACCACACTTTAGAGATTTCAGACACCGGTAAAGAAGTTCGTTGCTCCGAGATATGTTCAAAATCGAAGAATTCGTGATAGCCGTTAACAGAAAAGATAAAATGTTTAATCCTGACTCACAAGGTGTGTACCATTTTACGAAGTCTATTTTATATTCGCCAATCACAGCAGTTTTCTTGGACAAGATGATACTAGATATATACTTATCATGAATTTTATCATTTTTTTTATCATTAAGAATTAATATTTTTGTATTTGATATTTTGTGAAAATATTTTAATTATATACGAATGAAATAATTTAGATATATTTTTTTTAAGGAAGAATAAATTAAAACTAGTTATTAAAAAATGTATGGTTATCTTTTTGTGTAATAAATATAATAAATACAGTACAATAAATAAAACTAGATTTAGCTTTTCCATTTAACTGATGGTAATCGTAGCGCGCTTTCTGCGTAAAAATATTCTTCAGATTGTGGTTGTAATTTTGTTTTATATTCCATCAATGCAGTACGATCTGCTTGTTGTACAAGTATCTATGAAAAAAATTGAAAATTTTTACATCAATTTAACTTAATGTGTGAAGATTATGTATTAATTCAGCATATTAGAAATGTTTGAATATTTATATACTTACATCAATAGCTATTCTAAAACAATGCATATTTTTTGATAATTCCAATCGTCTCTCTATATTATCCACATATTTTAAGTATTTCTCAAGTACTTCAGAAGGTGCATTATTATTATGCAATATTTTTAGCACATCTTCAATAGGAAGATAAATTTGTAATTTTTTACTTCCTAACCATCCCTAATAATTATTATTAAATTAATTATAAAATTTTATATATTATTACATTATTATATTTTATTTTAATATAAAAATCCCACCTTTGTTAAAAGTAATCGATCAACATCATCCCATTCAGCAGCTGATGCTCTAACTTCTAATGCAACTTTTTGATATTGTCTAGGAGAGACATCATGTTGTTGAGATAAAATTGTAGGAGACATTAAAGTATTTTCTGACAAATTCCAATGACCTTTGCATGCATGTTTTAAACAATCAAGAACAGATGAATTTAATTCAATGTCCTCATTTCCATCTAATTTTTTCACTGCCATTTGCCATTCTAATAATATATTAATAAATATATATATTTACATATAATTATATATTATTTTTAAGTGATTTTTGTTACCAAGTAATTTTATATAAGATTGTACAAATGAGGCTTCTTTACATTCAGTTAAAGCTGAGAATTGTGTTTTATAACTGTTTCGAAGTTTATTTAATAATCTATCAGGATCTCGAGTATTTTTTATAATAATATGTAAAGTCTTCATCTAAAATATAAATAAATGAAATATAATAGAATTAACAATTTTGTTATATATAAATATAAAACTTACAGCAGCATCCATTGATTGTCCTAACATTCTGAAAAAATTAAAAATTAATTAGAAAATTAATTAAAAAATCGTTCACATATTATTAATACATACGTTAAAATATCAGTAATTTCATTTATTTGTAATCTTATAGAAAGATATCTTATGTAAACATTCACGGCATCAGGTCTTTCTGCTAATATCCTTTGAACTAAAGATCTTTTAAGAGTTTTTGTAAGAAATAAAATAATCTAAAATACAATTTCTTTTATTTATTGTATATAAAAAAATTTTAAAAAGAATTAAAAAAATTATAGAAATAAAAAATTATTACTATTAAAATGGCATTTCCATCACCATTTATTATTGCTGTATCTAATAAGGCAGTTTTACTGGCAAGTGATTTATATTGTTCCAAAGAATATGGTTGGCCAAGTAAAATTTTTCTAAGAGTAATATCTGGTTGTACAATAGCTGTTTCTGGATGAAGATTTTGTAATTTATCTGTTGCTAAAACTGTGAAACAAAATTTTCATGTAATGAATAAATCTATTTATATTATTATTTAATAAAAATAATGAAAATTCAAGCTATTGCATTGAGTATTTCAATCTATATATGACTTTACTGACATACTGCAAGAAAGCGTTTTTTCCGAGATAATAGATAACATAGGCTTAAGTGGTTGATAATCAGTAGAAGTTTTTAAAGATCCTTCTGTTGTTGACGTATTTGAAATACCAGCCCATAATTTATCTGTATCAGTTTTTGATACTCCAAACAATTGATCCACCTATTTTTAATATCATTTTATTAAAAATTATAGAAAATTAGTATTAAAATTATTATTAACATCAATTTTATTAACTTAACCTCATTATTTTCAAAACAGAAAGATCGCTTTTCACTACTGTACCAAAAATCTTCATCATCTTTAGCAGAAGTCATGATTTTAGTTTTGTATAAATAATCTACGTAATTACACTAAAATGTCTAATATATTAAATCATAGACGATAAATATGACGTAGACCTAATATCTTATGGGATCTTATGTTTCATAAGTTGACGTACCAATTTTAAAAAAATAAATTCTTTTATGCTTTCTATGATTTAAAATAACATAATTTTGAATATAATTTATTGTTGAAATTATTTTTTAAATTATTTTTTCAGTGTTAATATTCCAATTCTTAATAGAAAAAAATTTCAAAATATATTTATTTCTAAAATAGAAATAATTCATAATTCTTAAAAATAATTTTCTATATAATTTTCTACACAATTTGTACGAAATAAATTATAGCAAATTAATATTTGTAATACATTTGTCTTTGTACATTTTTTTTTATTTTTATTAAACATGATTTGAGAATCACTGTGCAAAATTGCTTTAAATTTATTTGTGTTGGAAGATTTATCGTGCCTTACAGATATTTTAGTTGATTTTTAATCGTAAATAATTTAAAAAAAACTTCACACTTAATGCCATTATTTCATTATATATTTTTTTTTATTTTATTTTGCTTTGTGAAAATATTTTTTAAATTTTCTACCATATTGTCATCATGTAGAACATCAACGTAAAACATTTAATCAGCTTTAATCATCATAATGGAAAATAAATATCATCAATGATGTAAAAAATATTTTATATCATAAATTAGCATAAACTAGATAATAAAATAATCACATTTTTTTAAATATATTTATTCTAATTATAAGAATTCAAAATTAAAAATAAACGAGATATTACATTACCTATAGGATTAATATAATATATAATGTACAGGTATCCCATATTATTTTATAAGAAAAAATATAAAAATATATAAAAAAGATATACATAAATAAAAATTCGATTAAATAGTATCAAATTTTTTAATTTTTAATCAATAAGTTAAGCAAGAAAGACAATAAAAACAAATCAGATATTGAAACTATTTCTTGTGTTCGTATAATTATACGAATAAATATAAAGAAGGAAAGCAAATAATAAAAGAAGACAGAAATAGATTAAAAATTATGAAATCAGCGCCATCTATAAAGTGCCGCAAATGAAACTATATAAACAAGGATAGCAAATAGAAAAAAGAAGATAGAAATAAATCAAAAATTGTCTATCAGCGCCATCTCTCAAATGTCAAAGATATTTCTTTAAAAGGTAAAACAGAATAGGAATTGAATATGAGCGCCATCTTTTAAAAATATCGAAAACATTCTTATAAACTTATTCACAAGATGGCACTGATATTCAATTCTTATTCTATCTTATCCTTTTAAAATAATATCTTTGATATTTAAGAGATGGCGCTAATAGACAATTCTTACCCTATCTTATCCTTTTAAAGTAATGTATTTGATATTCAAGAGATGGCGCTGATATTCAGTTTCTACTCTACTTTATCCTTTCGAAATAATATCTGTAGCGCTCAAGAGATGGCGTTGATAAATAATTCTTACTCTATCTCTATCTTTTTCTTATTATTTGCTATCCTTTTTTATTTATAGTTTCATTTGCGGCACTCTGTAGATGGCGCTGATTTCACAATTTTTAATCTATCTCTATCTTTCTCTCACTATTTACTTTCCTTGTCTACAATAGTTCGGCGTATGTATAGATATTAAATGTCATTTGAATTATTGAATATATTTTCATTTTTTTTCTTTTAAAACTACAATATACTTTAATTTTTAATATAAAAAATATTAAATTTAAAACTTTTAGCCTTAACATGTATTTCTAAAATGACGATTTCGCGAAACGTATTTATATAAAGTATTTTACAATAATTTTTATAAATACAATTATATAAATATAACATGCAATATTTTATATATGTACTATAAGATACTTTATAATAATTTTATTTCTGATTTATAATTTGATATTGAAATTTAATCTTAATTTCAATTTTATTCTGTGATTAATATTTTTCAGATATAGAATAGAGAATGCATCAAATTTACTTCTGTATCTTGTCTAAGATTGCATGTAAATTTTTTTTCTTTTTTTTTCGCAATTAAATTCTATACATATTTTATTATTTATTATATATTTATTAAAATATACGATAAAATAAAATATAAGATAACAATTTATACTAATGGATGTAAATTTAATGATAATGAGGTAAATTATATAACCATGATACAACGTACGATCTATTTATTATTTACAACAACGTATCAATGTTACACAAAATGTACCACATCTCTCTTTTTCTCTCGTGTTTTTATTTAAATCACTTATCACACAATTTACAAAACGTCGCTCATTCGCTCGACATTTAAATTCAACTTGATAAATGGACTGCATTTAGAACTTCTTCTCAATATTTTTCTGGGCTTTCGTACTTTTTCGGGCGAAATAATGTACGGAAAGAGGAAATTGCGAACATGGGGGAGAGTTTTTAAATGGAAATGAATTCTCGAACGCTTTATGCCTCATATTTTTAAAAATTCGTTCCATCAAATGGTTCGCGGTAACGAAGTGAAATTTCGAATATTTTAATGTCCAATCTCTTTACGAAGAAAAAAATTTTTATTACATTTTCGTTCCATTATTTCTTTCTTATACTTTGATCGTTTAAAATTAAAAATTTACGATAAAGAGAAAAATGCAAAAAAATTTCTCAAAAATAACTGTGCCCGTAAAATTAAAAATCGTACAGGATCTTCAAAATTATAAAAATGAAATAAAAGTTATCGAAGACATAAGCGTTCACAGTTTCGAGATTCGACTTGCGAATTGCGCGCGTAATTTAAATACTCGACACTCGAACAAGTACATTTTCGAGTTTTAATACAATTCCAAAGGAATTCATTCGCTTAGAAATACAATTTTAATTCGTTAACATAACATTCAACATTTAAAAAATCTAATAACTGTACATACGTGCTTTAACGAGTCCGAAAGAAACTTCAACGTTAGGTCGTTCACAGTATATTGTCGATTTAGTCGAAGTATTCATACACGTTTAAGTTTCATAAACTTCTCTCTTCTGATCTTACGTGCGGATTTGATTTCTTTCGTTTCTTTTTTCTTATTTTACAACAAACAAAATATACTATATATTTTACTGTAACAACAACTATCCAATCATCCAGTATTAAAATCTATCGATTTTAATACCGTACTTTGATAATTTTATGCCTTCCATAAAATATTAAAATATTAGCAACTATTCAGCTAAACAACGATAGAAAAAATTTATTAGGAATAACAAATCGAAAATTCTTTCTAACCTCTTCAAGAATTAATTTGTTAAAATTGTAAAAAAATACGATTATTCTTTCATTTGAATTGATTTAAAATATCTTTACCTAAACGGAAAAAATTTTAGAATATCTTGTATTTCAATTAAATTCTATCTTTTTTTTTTTTTTTTTTTTTTTTTTTTTTNTTTTTTTTTTTTTTTTTTTTTTTTTTTTAATATAATCGATAATATGTTGGCACGTTATATTGTATCATTATTCCTCAAGAGGTTAAAGAATCTTCGTTTCTCTTCTAGCAATGAAGCTTCATAAAATCTTCAGTAAAGTGTAATCGAATCGAATACAGAAACAATTCTCCGATCAATCGGAGTGTAAAATTGTTAATAATTCCCGTAGATCGCGAAACTTCCAGCGGGAATAAAAAAAAAAAAGAAAGAAAATAAAAAAAAATGGCTAAATTTCTAATACATCCCCATAAACTTCATCTCAAAATAAAATTTAAAAAATTTACTAGACGTGACAAATGGACAAAAGTTTAGGGGTTCGTTTTTTCAGCCACTAAAATCTCGCCTGCGAGAAAGAAACCAGTAGTTTTAAAACCAGAATATAACGATCCTCTTCGCGAACCTTCGATTGATTTTTTTTTTTTTTTTACATTTTAGAACGTGACTGTCTTTTCATCTATCTCGTTTTTTCCATTTCTTTTTTACATTGAAAAATACTTTTTTTTTTTCATCTAGCGATTCGTTGATTTTAATTAATTTGAAATAAAAATTTTTTCTTTTAATCTCTATATCTTTGAAATTACAATTAATTTGTAATTACAATTAATTTCTTTTTTCTAAATGCTTATATCAATGATACATAAATTTTTATTTCGAAAATTAAGTTTTACTTAACGAAAAGAATTATTAAAGAATCAATAAATTCTTTTTATATTTTAATCTAAAAAAAGAAACTGTAAAATGTGATAGATGGAAAGCACGTGTTTTTTCGTGGTACACACACAGATGACGAGCATGGACAGCCGAAAAGATGGACGGATGGCTGTTGTGATGTTTCTCTCATTTTTCTTTAATTGTTAAAGTTAAGAAAGAGTCTGGACGATTTATGCCCTCGAATTAGAACGTGAACCCTGCCTCACCATGGTTTTTGATTGCACTTTACTGACCGTAAACACTATGAGGGAAAGATTTTCAAGAAAATCGTGAATTAATGTTTCATTCGACCAAATATTTGTTGCCCTTAAACACGGATAAAAAGATTAAATGTACCAAAAAGTATTACACGTTCAAAGGAGAATGATCAAAATATTAATAATTACAAAAAAATGCTCGAAATATATATAATACAAATAATTGAAGAAATTTTGTGAATTTCGAAGTTAATTGTTAAAAAAAAAAAAAATGAAAATTCATTGAGAAACAACGAGTATCACAAATGGATCATGATCTTTTATAATTAAAATTATAATCGGTCAGTGTGCATGCGTGAAAATATACATAAACGATATCTATTCATATATACGAATGTATACACGTAATCTGCACGCGCACCTTTACCTGTGCAATGGACAAGTCGCGTGTGCGCGCGACACCCACACTTACACATCTATAATCGCGTGGACAAAATCGCGCACACGTAATACAGAGTGTTTTTTTAAAAAAAATTTATAATTCCTCGAATCGAAGACGCTATTGAGCTTTGACATTACTGTTCTACAATACTGCGCGAATTTTCTGTTTCTTATTATTCTACTCACATACACATTCGTTTATATATATATATGTAAATATGTATATTGATCTAAAATCTATACAGGATAATCCACGGATCATAATCATTCTGTATATACTTTTTATATTTTTGATAAGTAAAAACGTAAAATTTTTAATAATTTTTTACAATATATACATAAAATTTGAAAGGTATAAATATCTTTTATAAATTATAAAATATATCCTTATATATATTATATATATTATAAAATATATCCTATAAATTATATCCTTTATAAATATCCTAAAGATTAAAGATTAATCATAACCAAATTTTTTAAATATAATAATTTTTAAATTTATATTGATTGAACAATTTTTAAAAATACCTTAATCTATATCAATTGTATTAATTTTTAAATAATATGTAAATTTTTATTCTGATAATTTTTTTTCTATTAATAACAATAATATTTGAAATGATCATAATATGGATTATCCTGTATATTGATTAGACAAAATGGTGTAACACATTGACAAAGTTTCTCTACTTAGAATATGTTAAGAATCTTCAATCCGGGGTGTTATACACTTTACAGAAAAAAAACTCTCTGTATAAATATATATAAAAGTAACTTCATAACATACAATAAATCGTATCTTTGTTTGGCACATTTCGTCAACTATAGGATTCGTACAAGTACATCTATTTAGGTACACATACGCTTGTATACTTGTCACCTGATGTATACGCGTATGCATGTATAAATATATATATATATATATATCATATCATATCATATCATATATACCAACTCGCTTTAATCTCTAATAGTCATATATGTATATAGTAGAATACGTACAAATATTTCATCGGAGTATAGTATTCTAAGTACCATTTCTCCTTACATGTATCTGTATATGTATATATATATTTATATATCTACATTTATATTTCTTTACTTTCCGTATTATTCCATTGAGTGTGTTTATCAACCCTATCTACCTCTAAAAAATTATAAGAGGAACGTAACAATCTGTTATTCTTCGATATATTATATTACGTTTTTTTGTGTCGTTAAAACGTCACGCGCTTCGCCGAACAGGGAATAGGCTTGGCAAGCGTGGGAGTTGCACTCTCTCGCGAGTTTTTTTAGTCTCTTTTTATGATCGTTCCTTATTTTTATTATCCCTTATTAGATCATATAGATTTCTCCATCAAAGAGATTTTCCTGATAAAATAGTGTGAAACATGAAAAAGGATTAAAAGATCACGTGACGCTAATACGTTCAAGAACGCATGCGCATAAATATGGCGGATAGTGAAGTGTGAGACGAGTAAAAATGCCGTGTCATTCTGATTTTTAAGTTATGTGTCGTTGATTTTGAAAGCTCGACGAAAGTTTGTTTTTGTGAGGAAAACTATCGAAGAATATTTGTGATTCGCGTGATTGAAAGCGCAACTCCGTGGACCCATTCAGAAAATCCGGCCCGCAGTCGGAATATATATTATATATTTTTTTTGTTTTTTTTTTCTTTTTTTCATTTCTACTTAAGTATCATTCGATAGGATTTTTCGCAATTCTTTCGCTTAATTTTCTTCGTTTTTTTGGTTTTTCTCTTTTTGTCTAAATAAATATATCCACGAACAAGGCACTGCTCGACAGGCAGAAGTGTGCGCGCGACCCGTTTCGTCGTTGTCGGATGTTCGGATATAATACACCGTGTGGTAAAATTCGCATCGATCTGTCGAGCTTTCTTCGAACCGTTTCCTATCGCGAAACGTCGTAAAAAGTGGTCGGGATGCGTTTTAGAATATTATCTGCGTGAGTGTGAACCATCGATCTGAAGGAAACCTTATTTCTCTTGACGTTGGAAAGTGGTAAATTGCTCGGATCTTGGAGAAAACGAACGTTCCGAATTTGTACAAAGTAAAAATAACCTTTCTTTTAAATTTGATAAAGAAACATAATCTTCTTATCTTGTGTTTTGTTGATAAATAAAAGAGAAATCAAAATTGAATTAGATAATTATCCCCAAGAACAACTGCGAATATTGGTTGCCAATTTCGCCCTGACAGAAATAGAGGGCGAGGATAAAGGCGTGGCAGTAAACCAGACCAATTGTGTTAACCCCTCTGATTCTGACCATCCCATACAGTTCCAATTCACGATTCTCGAGCACCGATCAATCTTATCAGGAGAGTTAAATGCGATCGACAGATTTGCCATTATTCTCGCCTCAAATTTCCTTCAGAGTGAAGACAAACACTGAACGTCGTCAGAGAGCGTTTCGCCCACTGGCAGGTCGGCGTGCGTTATAAAGGGAAGCACTTGGTCCGTTTCTGGGCAACGGTGGATCGGCAGTCGACCTTAGAACCTAGGGTGAAACTCTCCGGCTTGACTGTCTCCTCGACAGAGATCTTCCCGAGCCTCTTTTTCACTCGGAAAGGCGTTGATCTGGGGGATATAATCTCGTAAAGATCGCTAGTCCTCCCTTGAATTTGCACCCTATCCTTCGGACTGCTCGCCCTCTGATCGATAGGAATCGCGATATCGATCTCGACGCAGTGATTCTGATTCATCTCCTTCGGAACGTTTCTCTCCAAGCCGTTGTCGCGCTCCTTCTCGTTTATTTCATCCGTTGGGGTGTTGAACACGTCCGACGAATAGCTTTTCGAGTCGCATATCAACGTCAAGTCCGAGTAATCGATCATTTCCTCGGTCTCTGAAGGCAAATTCCTGGTCGAAGCCAAAGAAATAGCTCTAGCCTCCGATTTCTGTGGTTTCTCGTCATCGGCATAGTCCAATGATAAACACTTTTTTTCGAACAGAGCCGGTCCAGGAATTTTCCTATCAGATTCGTCACTTTCCTCTTCTCTCTGTTCCTCTTTCTCTTGATCTTCTTGCTTCCCATACGACTGTCCTTCCTCCGTTTTCTGCAGCGAATTGATTACCTTTGATGGACGGCGAATACTATTCTCCCGCTCAACAGACAAACAGAATTCCTTATCGGTTAACAAAATACGCTTAGGCTGTCGCACCGGTTTTTTGTCCAGCTCGAGATCCTTCTCCCACGATGGAGTTTTCAACAAACTCTTCACTTTTCTCAGTTCGGTCAACAAGTCCATCGTCTCCTGGGACGGTTCGTGGAAAATCCTTCTCTTTGGTCGTCTTATAGACGAATTGGTATCCAATTCTTGATCACTAGGCTGGTCTATACCTTGCTGTTTCTTCAATACCGATCTGACTGTATGGACTCGTACTATCTCGTTCTTGTCGTCAGAAGTCGAATCCGTTTCCATCTTGACGGGAGTCGACGAGCTTACCGATTCTTCCTCTGTTTTCAACGCAGTGTCTTTGCAACTTTCGTCACGAATATCTGACACGATGTTATTTATCTTCAATCGTTCTTGTTGCCTTCCAATTATACTTTGAACACTACCTCTCGTGCGTCTTTTGAAGTCCGCATACGTTTCAGTGGGTATTTCATGGTACCTAAATTTATCCTGAAGTTGTTTAAACGTTTCCCTCGAGTACTCTTGGCCAATTTTATGCGCCAGATAGTCTTCCGACGATGCTTCTCTGGCTTTCTCAATCTGATTACTCTCTTGATACCCAATGGAGGTAACGGAACGATCCTTGGACAAAAGATTATCCGAGGAGATGCCTCGTCTCTCGAACTGCGCTTGTTTCCCTACTTTTTCATCTTGAACTTTACCATTTCTGTCTAACAAATCTTCGTACGTCTGCCTTCTAGTCTTCAATGGAGAATAAATGTTCTTCTCTGAGGAGTCAGCCTGTGAATCATCTTGACCAGTAAGAACGGATGAAATAGGACGTTTCATTGGCGAATTGGGAATACTATCTTGACTCTGATCAATGTTCTGAGAGCTTTGGATCACTTTCCGATGCGCGGGCGTTTTCGGTGTCGACGAGTCTCTCTTGAATTGCCATTTCTTCTTCGGCGAATTTCCCCAACTATTAGGCTCCTTGTCAGAACCAACGCTAGTGTTCGTAAAGATGATCTCCTCGCTGGTCGTGACGCGACACTTGAGCAATTCAGCGCCGTTGCTAACTCGTTCCTTCGTTTCTGGTTTCGGTGATTCGTTCGTCGCAGTGGTCTCCAATGGCAAAGAGCTAGGCCCAGAATCCAGAACGTCGTCCAGAGAGGCGCCTCGAAGAGGATCTCGATTGTCCTTCACTTGAACGGTCGAGTCTAAGTCCTCGGTCTCGAAAGAATACATCTTCAACAAAGGACCCTTTCCAGACTTTCTTCGTTGAATATCAAACGAATGCTCCAACCTCGTACTCTTCTGAATACCCCTCCTTTCCTCCGGTTTTACCTCTCCTTCAACCTTTCCCGTATCTTCCATACACGTTTCATTCCACGTTTCGACCCTCCTCTCGTAACGCGGAGTCTCGAACGTGAACTTGTCCAACGTTTTCGACGATCCAATCTTATCCAAGAACGGCTTCTCCACCGCTTTGCTAGGCCCTATCTTCTCCAAATAAGGTTTGCCGATAATCTTAGGCGCCAGCTTCGCCAGAAACGGTTTGTCCTCCGTCTTCGAGATGCCGATCTTCTTCAGGAACGGTCGCTTCTTCTCTTTGCCCTCTTTCTCGAACGATCGATCGTTCAGCCGTTCGTTGCTGTAGCTGGACGAGTTGTCGCTGCTCTTCGATCTCGCCCTCTTGTTCCTCGGGTGCGGCGTCAACGGCGTCCTCGGTGTCCTCGGCGTGAGGGACGGGCTGGGCTCCTGATTCGGACACGTTTCGTCCAGCAGGGCAATGGCGTCTCTCAGATCCATGTACGCTTTCCTGGGCGCGGCGCTTACCGTGGACGGTCGTGGTAGCTCACTCTCGATGCTGCTGTTCCTCGTGGACGTGGCGTCAGGCTTCATTTCCGTGTCCATGCGCGGGTACGAGGGGTACGAGCTCCGATCGCCTACGAGTCCCGGCGAGGAATCGATAGTTATGTAATCCTCGAAGTGCCAGGGTATTACACCTAGGTCTTCCGGCCTTGCCGCGATACTGTGAGCCGAAAACAACGCGTTCTTGCTGATGGCGCCCCTGTTGCTGCTAGAACCGGTCGATTGTTGGTCCGTTTGTGTGGTGCTCGACGACGTGCCGGAAACACTGGCAGCTATCTCGTTCGGTGTGCTGGTACTTGGCACCTGGCGACGGTAGCTGGTGCACGTGGCGAAGTACGGTAAAGCTGGCCGCGCTGTCTCCACTATGACGCGACCTTGGGCGCACGGGACCATAGGTTCGCCATCAACCGGGGCTTCCTCCGGAGTCAACGGCAGCGCCGCCCCGCGGCCGAACTCGATGAACCACAGCTCGTCCCTCAACTCGCTTTCTCACTTTTTCTCGTTCATGTCCTTGTTCAGGTAGTGTAGCACGTAGTGCAACACCAGATCGTAACAATATTTGTACTCGGTCTGGAAGATATTTGGGGAAAGTTATGAGAGGAGTTTTTCTCTTGTTCAATTTAATGAAATTGTTTGGGACTACTTTTCGTTTTGTGTTTTCATCGCGCAATGTGTTACAAGTTATTTTCAAATTATTGCAGATGACGACTCTTTTTTTGATTAAATATTAATTAAATAAAAAAATATCAATTTTGTGATGTAAAAAGGGTTCGTTAAACGATTAGAATAAGGTGAAAAGAAATTTGACTATAGTAGATTATAAATTGCAAGTAATATCCTGTGTCTAATTTCAAGGAAACCATTCTCACAAGTTCATAGTTCCAGTAATTACAAGTATATACTAGTATATACAGGTTCCTCTATTTATTCCTCCTTAACTACTCACCATGTTCTCAACGAGTTGAGGCCTGTGCCTGCGCACGGTTTTAACTGCCTGGAAAATGTCCACTTCCCCGTGTTGTATCACCTGCTCTATACACGCGTTTGCGGCACAATATACGCCACAACGACTTCTACCATCCGGGGAGACCACAGCGACCGGTCCATAATCAGTCCGTTGCCTCCACCTCTCCACCATATTCATCAGTTCGACCAGACTATTCGTCGATGTCGGGACCTTGTGACCCATTGGCCAACAGGTCAATTGGAACAGTTGAACCGTCTTCGGTGGAGCCTTCACGCCTGCCATTAATTCGGTCAACGACACGATCTTTTTATTTATCCTAAAAATCTGTGAACACGTATTTATTTTGTGAAATTCTTCTTGTAATATGCATAATGATTATTATCATGTTATGAAATTTGGATAAAAATATGAAAATTTAATCTTAATTTTCTTTAGAATGATGATGAAATGTAAATTTTTAAATTAAAAATGCATTATCGTGTCTTTTATAGAATAATAATATATAAATTCATATAGAATTTTCTCGCTATAATTCTTGAGAGAAAAAACTATGTTTTTGTAAACTGAAGAAGATGAAGAAGATTTCTTTGAAAATGTTTTAAATGTGAATTTATGCAAAATTTGAATATATACAAAAATATATATGATACATATATTATACACATTCAAAATATAATTATAATTTCATTTTTTAAATTGTATTATAATAAAAAAGTTAAATTTTATATACATCCATAATCTAATAATAATAATTCCATTTCCAATAGTAATATAAATAATTACAGATAATTAATAAAATTAAAACTATAAAAAATATTTTTATATAATTTTTTCTTAAATTTAAACCAAAAAACTTTAAAGATAACCAAAAAACTTTAAAAAAAAATATTGCTTCTTACCCAGGTCTTGATATTTGTGTAATGATTGTGACTGATGTGATCAATCGTGAACACAGGACCGTATTTCTTCGAATGCTTTCCTTCGGGCCAAAAGCTGGGAAAATTGGTGGAGCCTGGCGGTGGTACACATAGTACTACTACAGCGGCACACTCATAGTCGTAAACTAAGGACCAGAACTCGCCGCACGTGTGTCGAAGAGGCCATTCAGTCACGATATATTCCCTGGGCTTCGTGTAACCCTGTCAAGAATGCTCATTTAGAAAAAAGACGAACATCTTGTTACATGTTCGTGGAATAAGAATCAAGGAAGGGATCTTCTACTACGTGGTGATGTTAGTTTAGAAGTTTCAAACATATGAAGTTGATGGGATACAATTTGAAATAGAAGAAATAAGAATTTTTTTTTGTAAAAGTTAGCAATTTGTTATGAATTTGTAAGACATGAATGAAGTAATACTTTAATAAGGATAAATGTAAGGAAAAAGTCTTCTATTATTAACATAAGATATATGGAGATTCCAGATTGATTTAAAAAATTGAAATATATAAAAATCTATGTGCAAAAATTTTGAATGATTTATTGGTCAATTGATTAATTAATGATTAATTAGTTTCAAATCAATCAATGAAAAAATTTATAAATAGAAATTAATATATCTTTTTTAAGAGAGATGAATTAATTGGTTAAGAAAGAAAAGAATAGTGTTAACATGAAACGAATATAAATCCCAAACTTACATCTACAAATACAGCATTTATATAATCTGTGTAACTGTTACCCTGGAAGCTGGTGAGGTATGGTCGAAAGTTGTCAGCTAAAGTGAAAAATATTATTTCATGAATAAAATATGATCGATGTGCGATAGATACAACATCTATCATTTATACACATGCACATAATACAAGAAATATTTACATATCACGACTAATAATTTATATTCCTTATAATATGAAAAGAAAATATTTTAAAATTTCCAAAATATAAAATATAATTTCCAAAATATAAATAATAATATACACGGAAAAGATAAAATTCAATACTTTTTGTAAACATCCCTAAAAAAAATATAGATAAAAATTTAGAAACAAAATATGCGGCCTCCTTTTTCCATTATCCGCATATTCATGATAAGCAAATATTTATAAACACTCCAATTTTTTTTTTACTCCGATTACTATTTTTTTTCTTTTTTCTTTTTTTTTTTTCTTTATCAAAGAAACATTCATACGTTGATGATGATTCTATATACGGAAACTTACGCGGCACGACCAACACATCCCTGTTCTTTTCTCTGTTATCGGCTCTGTGGCCCCCGGCGCAGTCCCCGATCGTAAAACGCGGCGTTTGCTTACAAATTTGCTGATACTCCCGTTGATATTCATTCATCTTAGTTATTGGGTTTTTTATACTTTTCTGCTTGAGACGCTGCGACAGTTCTGAGACCGGAAACCACGAGGTACCGCACACCACGAACTCCTCCAGCGTATCGTACACGAATTTATATTGTTCCTGCATAATAATGTCGTAAAAAGATTATATAATCTTTATCACGATTCATGATTGGATGGATCTTTTATTTTTCTTTTCTTTTTCTTTTGATATTTCTTATTTTTTCAGCAATATGGAATTTTTAATCTTAGAGAAGAGAAGAAAATCTATATTCGTAAAAACTTATTTCAAATTAAATAAGAATTTTAAAATTTTTATTATATTTAATATATTCGACGATATTTAAAATTATATAATTAATAAAACTTCACGTGGAAAAGAAAGTTTAAACCGATATCTTTCCTTTCTATGAACAGAATTGAAAATGAAAATACGATCGATATCGCGAATTTACCAAGTTCTCGATAAGTCCTCTTCTACTTTGCCGCAACTTTTTCAAATAGCCAAACACGTCGAAGGCGTCCTCCTCCTCGGCCAGTTCCATATTCGCGTCTATCGCCAAGTATACACCGGATCTTCCTCCACCGTCACTTTATTATTCACAATGAAAAAAAAAAAAAAAAAAGAAACAAATATGATCGTTTAACATCTACGCGCGAAATCATTGAAATTCATCGGTGAAACACTCACTTGCAATGCACCACCATGGGACCAGACTCGTTCTTTATGGTAGAGCCGACAACTGCCCTCACGCGCCGACGGAATTCTAAAACCGCGTTTCCGAATGGACACGTGTGCGAGTGCCATTCCGTGTAATGAAACTGCAATAACGTTCTTTCTTCGGTTATCTCCTGAAATTAAACAGTGATTTTTTTCTTTATTTCTTTTCTCTTTTTTTTTTTTTTTGAAATTACAGTTAGAGATATATTATAGATATGGCGAGAAGAGTTTATTGAAATATGATATTCGAAATGTTATAATTTAATTTTAATTTTGATATTTTATTTTTTTAAAATTTGACAGAGAAAAACATTTTATGATTTAATGATAGAATTTTTGAATTTTATATTTATTCTTTTGTATTGTTGATGTATACGTTGGCCTCGTTGTGAAAATTATTCACGGAGGAGCATTAGGGAAATTTTGCTGATTTTAGTGCACGAATAAATTTTTTTTTACTATTGTCAATGTCATAAATTTGTGACATTTTAAGTGAAGTAACGCATACACGTCGTCGACAGTTCAACTCTCGTAACTCGAGTTTTAAACGACACTCCACTGTAACTTACATTTATGTCAGCCATGTTGATGAATAAAACATTCGTTGCAATCAATGTTTTAAATTTGTGTTAAACATATTGAATAACTTTTCTTATTCATAATATATGAAATCATCCAATTTAAATTCATTTTAAATAAAGTAAAATTTAAATAAGATATTTTAAATATATAATAATTTTTATTTCTTTTCTCATTCCTATGGGATTCTCTTTACAATATTATAAAATAGACATTTTAAGTCTTTTGTTTCTATGTTACATTCCTAAAAATATTTTATCTATTTTAAAATGATTTAATTAATATAGTATTCGTAATTCAGTATTCGTTCTAATTCTGTTATTTATTTTGAAATTCTATATTCCTTTGTCTCTATCATTTCAATTAAGGTATCTCTAAAGATTTTAATTCTTCAGAAAAGACACCTACATCTCCATAATAATTAGATGAAGCATCCTTAAGAAAATCTTATTTGTTCTATTCTGAAATATTCTGGTTATTTTCATACTAATTATACTTCTATTACAAATTGTGATATATATTTTGAAATATTCTATACAATTCATGAATATATATCTATCAATATTCTATTATCTTTAAACTATTTTATACATCTTATTGTATATCAAGTACAATATTTTCAAAATAATTTATAATTATTTCTTTTTGATCATCTGACTTGAACCGTTCTATACATTCTATCATATGACATAACAACAACAAGAATGTATAAATGAAGAATTAAAATTCTCATTATCCTAATTATTTCTCTGTAACAATTAGAAATAAAACAAAATTATACGAACCAATTATACAAAACTATTTTGTCTAAACTAACACGAACGAAATGTCGAACGAAGTTCTTGCTCCATTTCCGGCAAGTTAATAAAATTAAGCCTTGCGTAATATGTACTCGAGCAAACTCATCATCGTTTCTCGTGTATCGTTTTGAAACATTCACCCAGTTTCGAAAGATGAAATACTCTATCTACCAGTTCCTCCAGTTGGTTAATTTCGCCAACTTTTTACCAACTTTCATCCTAAGTGAGATTCCTTCCACGGAATCCAGAGACGTCCTCTGTAACCTTGTCTTGCCTACTTTTCGTTTTAGGGAATAAGTTTCTGGATTGCACGAGACTTGGTGCCAACCTTATTATCAAATCATTGAGATCTGTAGTCCTTTTGCATTATAGAGAATGTGATTCGAAACATTTTTGTGGCGATTTGTCGAAGAAGTTTTTCAAGGAAAAGAAAAATTGAGAAAATTGGAATTAATTTTGAAAGAAATTGTTAAGAGGATTGAAGAGTTTTCTTTTTAAAGAGGATTGGAAAAAGTAAAATGGAATAATTGAAATTGGATAATATTGAAATGATGATAAAATAATGATGATAAATATAATGAATAATGTAATTAGAATGATAATTGAAATTCAACCATATGTGTGAAAAAACAGAATTGTAGAAAAAGAAAATTAAAGATGAAAATTTAAAGAGGAATGAGAAGATATGAGATTTGGATATTTAGAATTGAAAAATTGAGTGAATTTTTGGAAAAGTACTCAATATTTATTAAAAAGAAATGAGAAAGAGAATTAAAAATGCAAACATTTATGAATGGTATGCGAGATTGGTATTCTCGAAGAAAAATTGAGGACACAAGAAGAAATATAACGGAATAAGGGATGCAAAGATTTTATGCAAGAGTTTATTGTAAAAGAATTCACGAGTGGAAGACACATTTTTCAAAGAAGGAAAAAATATCAAAAAAATAATAACAATTCTCATTAAAAAGAAATGAGAATTTTTAATTTTTTTTTCTTTTCTTTATTAACGTTAGTTATAAATATTTAAAACTACGAAATAACTTATAACTTATACGTCAGAAACATTAAACGCGCATATACAATACGTTTGTGTTCCACAAGTTAATGTTTCACGTACAACGTATAAATCTTTAAAATGTAGATGGAAACAGGAAGCAACCATAGAGTATGTATCAAGATATCAAGAAGATGTACCGAGGGAGAGCAAATCAAGGAAATCTTAAAGGGGAATGTGTGCTGAGATGAGAAAGACAATAAAGATAAGGAAAGATATATTAAAGATAAGCTAATTGCAAATAGAATTTATATAATAGAACTTATCTATTTAATTATAAAATAAAATAAAATTTCAAAAAATATATTTATAACAACAATTAATATTTTCCTATCTAAGCAAAAGTTTAAAAAATAAATCAATGAAATTAGTATCTTTTTTAATTACTTGATATTAAGTAAAAATATCAGAATTGTAAAGATAGATCAATAGGATATATAAAGATATATAAAGATTTATCTACTTGGAAATAAATCTCTATAACAGGTAAATAACTATAAAACTTGTGAACACTCACGTCGTTTTCATTCTTCTTGTAGAGTTTTATCGTACGTATGTGGAAATTGGCGAGCTCTTCTTCCTTCAGAACGGAAACGCCGATACCGCCATACTCCTCGTCTTTCTCTTTGCTTGCAGGCCAATATTGGACGCACATCACCTGAAATCGATTTGTTAGATGCTCGTTATCGCTCGTCCTATATCTATTTCAGCTTTTAAATCGTCATTTGACAAAAAAAAGAATTCGACCAAAGGGAAAAATTACGAGGAAAATTTTAATTCAAGTGTAAATTTTTTATAAAAATTATCGAACAAAAAGAAGGAAAGAAAAGAATCGATTCATACCACTCCTTTCCACATCTTTCAAAGTGAATCACCAATATCCAAATTTACACAATTCTATTTCATCGATTGATTATTTTCCTCGACGCTGTAAATTATCTTCCTCGCTCAAATAAACATCATCGTTAGAAATCCTTCAAGTTCAATATCAACAATACCGCGTCATTCGGCAAAAACAATTAGAAGCGACGATCCATAACATGAAAAAATAAATAAACTCGAACAAATAGCGCGAACTCTAGTGGGTTTACAATTTCTTTCACGTCGACCTAAACATCAGACTTTCTCTCTCTAGCTCTCTCTCTGTCTCTTTATCTCTGTCGTGAAACCAATGAAAACCGTCGTTTCTTCGTGGATCATCATTATGGAGGCAAAGAGGCGCGGCTAAGTGAAGTGGCTGCTAACAACTTCCAAACTCGTTTAGTTCGCTCGTCGTCGATTTTCACGTGCAAATGCCCCGCTTCTGGCTTGGCCGCAGCCTTCTTTAAATACTGTCAATCGAGTTCGTCTCACTTTTCATCGTTGTTTTCGCGATATCTTTCGTTTATTGAACGCGCGATTCGTGACGAAAGGATTGGAACGAGATTTCCTCGGTTAACTGTGAACGTGTGTGGTGTAACGTTGCGCAAGAATCCGCGGGCCACGATGTAACCGTGTAATTTCGCAGAGCAGAAATTTCCATAGAGATATGAAAATGTATAGGGTGTCTCGTTACGTGCACGACACGGTTTGAATGGGAAATATAAAGTAATGAAAAGTTTGTGTATATATATATATAGTTTATGTACATGTAGATTGGATATGGAAGAAATTGTTAATCTATTCTTATAGTTATATTATACTGAATTTTAACCAGGTTATGTTCATTTATTGCAATCACTAGATTGTGAAAAGATGAAAGTTTTTGTCATTAATGATTAAAAGTTAATTGGAAAGACGTGATATTTAGTTAAATTTAATCAAGTAATTTCCAAATTTCATTTATCTAAAAAAATGAAAAAGATTCATAAATGAAAATAATAATTTTAATGCCTCAAGAAATAATAGTAATATTCACCAAATTTTTTAGATTTTATTTTCTCTAATTATTTTCAAATCAAACCAGTATTTCTCTTTTGAAATATTTCATTAAAAATTATATTACAATTATCTTAATATTTTATATACATGCATATATCATTAGAAAAATAATTAATTTTTCTTTTTAAATTCTATATAATTTTTACAATTATTAATTTGGTTGTCATATTTTATATTCTTTACATCGTGCGAGGGATCAAAATCTAATGACCGCAATTTTTTTCACCTCTGTGGGAATATATTCGAAGAAAAATAACAGGAGAAACGTAAATCCCCGTTGGCAAAACAAAAATGTTAAATGTCTACGCGAAACGATTTACGCCCCTACAATTTCTACCACCTTTATCGCGACCACGATGTCCCAAATAGATATCAGTCCTTCACCCTTGGATGTTAGTCCACGCGAATTATTATCGTTTATATTCGACCAAAAAGCTGAGCTCTCTCTCTCTCTCTCTCTCCAATTAAAACGACAAAACGTAAGGATTGAACGTCCTACCTTGATGAAATCGAACGTTTTCGTCAGCATTACGATGCAACAAGCCTTCTCCTGCCAGACCATCCGCCAAAATTCCGTCACGGTGTTCTCCATGGGTCCCTGAGTCACGATGTAAGCGTTCGGTTTCAATATACTCTGAAATTTAAATAACAATCTTATAAATCGAGTCTAATTATTCTACGACATTAATTACAGTAAAATAAAGTCACAGCTAGCAATATATAATTTGTATTTAAATATACGTAAGTTAGATTAGGTCGTGTAAAAAAAAAAAAAAATGGATCTTTTTACATATAATTTTTGTAATAATTTTCATTGTGATTTTCATTAACATTTGTTGATAATTGTCGATCGAAACGAGATACTAAAAAATTATTTCCATGATAAAAATATAACGATACTATCGTTATCCCAAATTCTATTTCTAGAAATGTGATATGGATTATTCAAATTAAGCTCGATTTCGTGTTCGAAGGTTAAGAAAAATGGGTAACGTTAATCTTGATCTTTAACATGGCGAGTCACGATGCCGAAAAATAGAATTTCACGTTCTTCCAATAATAATTTCCAATAATAATTTAATTCTCTACAACGATTACGATTACGTTCGTTTATATTAAAATAAATTTTAACACTCATAAATAAGAAAAACATTGATTATAAATATTCTTCGCGATTATTTATATCGAAATAAATATTTATTCATTCATAGTATCACATTTTAATATTTTCATGGAATTTCGAGGAAATTTAATTAAAGCTCGGACAACTTAAAGATAGAATCCCTTTTGCTTTGTGTAAAGTGTTCAATTTCAGGATAAGAATGTTTTACTAATATCTATGTATCAAGTATCTACTTACATCTACGTAAGAGGCATTAACGTAATCAGAGTCGGGCTCGCCTTCAATTGGATCCAAAACCACCCTGTTGTAGTCATCTGTACTCGAAAAGGGAATTGATGAAAGTTAATAACAACGCCAAAATATGAAATATAAAATCTGTTTTTGTATTCAGCAGAATATTAATCGAAAAATTCACTATTTAATATTTTATTTTTTAATCAAGCAACAAAAAAAATTGCTGAAAAATAATCTGTTGAAACATATCAAGTGTTTCAATTTATGGCTTGGGGATAAAAATTTATCGGATAAAATATATTATTGACTCGTTTCAAACGTTTACACAATTATTTTACAAATTGTGCTTTTAATATACGTATAATATAATGAAAATTGTTTTCATTATTGTGTAAAGACTGCAAATTTTCGAAATATTATACGATAGTCCGATATATTTCACACATTCATAAAAAGAAAATATTTAAATAATTTTTCAATACACTCTCCATCCATCAACCGACAATGCAACAATGTTCATTCACTCGTATTCTATCCAATTTCTTCGCGCCTCTGATTGTCCCATCGCGTGTAACGCAATCTACACCCCTAAAAAAAAAAAAGTGGAAATAGAATTTTCAAAAACTTGAAACTGAAAATATTGAAAAATAAAATAACGAGATCCATATTCATGGATAGTAGTATAAATTTCATTATACCATATAGTATTTCCAATATAAAATTTATAATATATGCATATCTTGCTTATTTATTTTCACGAATACTTTTATTCGTGTAAAACACTTCCAATGTATAAACGTCTATGGTGCATTAATAATTTATACGCTTTCAAAAAAAAAAAAAAGAAAAAAGAAAAAAAGGAATAAAGTAACAAAATTGTATTTTCAAAGAAAAAAAGAAATTATAATATAATTAGATTATAAAAATTGTAAATTAAATTTTTAAATGAAAAAACTTTTTGATTAATTATGATTAACACCTACTTAAAAAAACAATTTGAAATTTAATTAAATTTTAATTCCTCCATCATTCCCAATATAATTATCGTACACCTTGATAAATATTTCTGCATACAGTTGTTACATTATATTTCACAAATTTCATTTGTATATTTAAAAATATTCCAAATGTACGTGTACAAGCGTACGTAACTAACAAAAACCTCAATAAAAAAAAAAAAAGATAAAAATAGATAAACAAAACTACAAGATCGTGTTTTTCGTGAACAAAGGGAAACAGCTTCTCTAATTGCCCTATTCCGAGTAACAACAATCCGCAATCCCCCCGAGCAGAATGGAGGGGAAAAAAGAAAGTGAAAAACGAAGATGCAAAGAGAGAGAGAGAGAGAGAGAGAGCACAGAAATAACAAGATCATGTTGTTTAAACAAAAGGTGAAACGGAAACCAGTCGTTTGATTCTAGTCGGATTCCCGAAAAACCTGGTCAAATTGCTTTTCGAACGAACATTTTCACCCGTGAAAACGAGCTACTGTATCAATTTCGAGGAAATGTTATTTGATCACGTTTCTCGCGTATATTTCCACCCATATGTGCAGGGACAAGCGCAGAGACACTAGGAAAAGGAAAAATTCAAAATTCTATAATTATTTTCTAATAAATTTGCCCTCCCCCCCCCAATATTTAATTTAGCGTTAAATTTAATAAATAATTAATAATAATAGTAATAATTATAATAATATTAATAATAACCAGTTAGAGTAATTTCTGTGAATTATTGATCTTTCAGTTCGTTGCAAATTTTTAATTTTTCTATTCTGTAAAATTATTCTTCGTGATTAATTTTGCAAAGGAAGAAGAGAAATTTTAATTCTTTTTTCGTTTTATTCTTAACATATAACAAGATATGTTTTGTGTTTGGATTAAAATTCACAGCTTAAGAGAAGTGTAGTCAAGTTTCATTTAACATTAAACGTGACGAGTATTAAAACAGAACGTTTTCACTAGCCCATACTTGAAACTCTACATTACAATATCAGAACAAAAATTCAAAGATACAATGATTGATTTTATAATTTTAACGTCACGTTATATATTATAATTTATCGTATTACTATTATTATTATTATATTTAACAATGCACGTCAATCACGCTCATTAAAATTGACAAGTGTCCACACACGTAGATACTTATGTAGACAACAGTACATACAAGTGTGCGTGTACCGTGTGAGAACGGAAGTTCGTGTTGCCCTCAACTTCCGCCATCCCTCTTTACGCTCTTGTGTACGTCGAGCACGCGTACGAAAGGTGAGAATATACCCGCGTTTCCTAATTAGTCGTGACCGAAATTTTCTTTTCTTTCTTTCTCTCTCTCTCTCTCTCTCTCTCTCTCTCTCTCTCTCTCTTTCTCTTTCTCTTCGCAAGAAGAATAATTAAAAATACAAGCAGCATTGTGTACGCGGAGCGGACGGTGAAATCAAAGGATTTGTAGAATAAAAATTGCGAGCGAGAGAGAGAGTGGTGAACAATCGTGTTGAAGTATTCTCGTGAGGTTGGGAATGGGGTTGTTTGCGTTGGAATTAAAAGTTGGGTGTTTGCAGAAGATTTCGAGTTCGGTGTTAAATTGTTTGGGTAGATGGAATCAAGTATTAATTAAGATGGGTTAATAACGTGTGAACGGAATATTGAAATGTCTTGGAATTTATATATGTATGTATGGTGTGTGGAAATTTAAGTATGTTTGGATTTGCGAATTGGGTGTGTTTGGCTTGTGTATTGTGAATAGATGAAATATTAAAATTATATGTAATTAGATAGAGAAATATTGTTGGATTGGATATTTTTGAATGAGGGTGAATTCACTATTATTAGTTTCAGAAATTATCTTTGTAATGTATGATTGTTGTAGATTTGTGTTGTAGATTGATGTAGAAGGATAAAGTTTTTGTGAAATAATAAATTAAGTTTCCAAATTATTTCTGTAAAAGTAGATTAATTTGTTTATGGGATAGTGAAGTATTGAGTTACCTGTGTCAATAGCGAATTGTGTCCTGAATTTCTCCATATAAAATTGAATTAATTTGCTTGAGAAATAGTAAATTAATGTTAAATTACCTTTGAAACAATGAAATCATGTTTTGACGTGTCTGTGTAGAAATAAATGTTGAAATATTAAATTATTTGTGTAGGAGTTACAGTAAACGTTTCTTTCATTATTTCTTTCATATCATTTTGAAATAATTATTAGAAGCAAAGTTATTTGAGAAGAATTAAAAAAAAAAAACATTATATTTGTCTGCATGTAATATCATGTATGCTGTTTCAAATATAACAACATCTTAAAAGTTTAAAAGCAGTTTACCATATTGATCAATGATATTGATATTGATATAATATCGAGTGATTGTTACTTACAAGGAATACACCTTTGGTTCTGGTTCTTTTCTTTGTTGGCTGGTTTCATAGCGTGTCTACACGAATGCGTCTCCACCTTCGTTGCCGTCTGTAAACAAATAAAATAATTTTTTAAAACACCATACATAATATAGAAAAACTTGGAAGTTTAACAAGAATTATATATATATATATTTTTTTTTTAAAGAAAAGAAAAAATAATTTTTGCCATTACAAATCGAAAACAATAAACATCGAGTTAAATTTTTGATCAATCGTTACCAGCTGATATTAGAAATATTAATTTTTAAATATTCCCTTTATAATATTTACGAAATATTATATTAATTGAAATCATGAGCGTACGCTCGTTCCAGCGAACGTGATAATGACACGTAAGTGACACTGTTGGCAATGGATACAAAGTTTAAATTAAACTCCCTCGATTATTAATGAACCGAGTGAAATTACTCCGCGTCCGAATTTCATAAATTTCGTTTGCAATTTATCGTTTATACACGTGCAAATATACGATCGTTAATTTCCAATCGTTTCTAGTTATACTATGAATTCTATAACTTCCCCTTTTTTCTTCAAATATTATCTATTATTTCATTTATACAAAGCATGAAAAACCTGAACTTATCCGTGAATTATTAATTTTAATTTCGATATATTTTTAAATAACATTAAATAAGATTAAAAATTCTTTCCTTTCTTAATTCTTAAGGAATTAAGATTAAGTTCATTTTTAAAGTTTTACAATCCTTTAACAATTTTTCCTCTCTTCAAAATCAAAAGAAAGTTTTGTATTTTAATTTTTGTTCATATTTGTCACAAATTCTACAATACAAACTAATCTCTTGATAAAAATAAAAAAATCGTACAAAAGATAGAAAAAAAAAACCGATGACTAATATTTCACAATTCAAACAACATTGTAAAGTTCAAAAAAATCTCCCATATCTTTCATAGCAATCACAACAACAATAGAAAAAAGATCATTGACAAATTTTTCATTCATCATTCACAATAACACAGCTCTCCACAATACAAAACTAAACTTCTAAAATTCAAAAAAATCCTCATTCCTCCCGTGATATTGTCGCTCTTATCAACAATAGAAAAAGAAATCGATGACAAATTTTTCACATTCGTTATTAACTTTGCAACAACAATGATTTTTTAAAATTCAAAAATTCAAAAATTTATCTGTCTCGTATAGAAAAAAAAAAAAAAAGAAGAATCGATGAAAAATTTTTTATTCGCCATTGAACTCTTAAAATTCAAAAAAGTATCTCAACAACAGGAAAAAAAAAAAAAAGAATCGATCGATCATCGATTCCACACTACAAATTACACTTTTCAAATTCAAAAAGACTCCGCCTCGTATATCTCTCGATATAATCATCCGTGCAAATGATAAAAAAAAAAAGAGAACAACGACTCAAAGGCAAATAAGTACGCGGATCGAACGGTCACCTGTCCGCCTCTCGAATCGCTTTCGATGAACTCGGCGTGAAAGAGGGTTGATAAACGTCGAGCCAATTACCGTGTTCCGATCGACGGGAAGGCAATCGACGCGTGTATCGTTGTACATGCGAATTAAACGGTGCCGTAAATTCCCGACGCGACGAGGAGATCCGAAGCCAGCGATCCAAACGAGTTTTCAGCCTTCGTCATCTCGATAATTCTCCTACCGGTTGATAAGGAAACCCTGGTGAACGGTGGCGAAATATAGTTTCCGTCGGGCTGACCAAAATTCAATCTGGTTCGTTCGACCGGCGGAAAATGGATCTGGTGATATTTACCGGTGTCTTGGGGATAATTTAATAATCGTGAAATATGATAGATGGATGGATAATTGAGAGCGGTAATTTTCAAAATGGGAATTTTTGAATAAGAAATATTATTGAAGATAATTTGGATGTTGAAAAAAAAAATTGGCGAGATATATATATATATAAGGATCGTGTAATTTCTTTTTTTGTAGATAAATGAGATTTTGAATTAACAAAGTAAAAAAAAATCTTTGTCGAAAGTTTAGAATTATCATGAAATTCGCGAGAGAGAGAGAAAAAGAAACTTCTTTTAAAAGGAGCGAAGTTAAAATTACACAACCTTAGAAAATTCTGTGGACCAAAATTGATCGAAATAAAAAATTTTTCCAAGACTTTAGTTGGAAAAGTTAGAATTACCTAACCTTGGAAAATTCTCTCGACTAAAATCTAACGAAATAAGAAAATCCAGGAGTTTGGAAAAAGTTAGGTTAGAATTATGCAATCTTTTATAAAAAAATTTGTTCGATTAAAAATTTAACAAAGTGAGAAAATTATTATTGATATTTATATATAGCAGAAAATTATCGTAAGATTTCATATGAAAAGTAAAGAAAAGATTGACCATCCGTAAGTCATCAACGATTCAATGAAAGTTTCACGGATTTCCATGAGGGTCTGGAGGTTCATCCTGTTCGCCAGTCTGCCAGTCTGAGAGGCAAAAGCTATTCTCTGTTCCCAGGTGTCTGGCTCAGAATTTGTGCACCAAAATGGCAATCTAATGAGAAACCGATATCGAGCCGAGTTACTCGATTCCACTACCTATTCTCACGAGATCGCTTTGTCTCCTAGATGTCGTCTGCCACCAATGTCTTGGCTCGTCTGCCTATCTTGAGCCACTTTGCACCCTCTCCAGTACATATATATATTCACCGGTGGGAATGATCCCTTCGTATAATTTTGTCGTGGCGAATACATTGGACGTTTCTGAATCGTGGAATTGAATTATTTTATTTCATGAGATTTTGATAATAGTGCTCATGATTTTTTAAATAAATCGATATTAAATATTGAATTTTTGTTACAAGTTTTGTTGATTTCTTTCAAGATGATCAGATGAATATTTTAAATTGTTCAAACGATGATGAAGTTTTATTTTTATATTGGATCTTGGAAAAATAATTCGCAATTATTATAAAATTTTAATAACTCTTCTACTCTATTTTTCTGTTCCGAAAATTTAATTCTTAAAAAATTAATTTTCTCAATTACACGAATTCTCCTCGAAAGAAGCTATTATATAACCGTTAGGATCTCTTGAAACAACACAAAAATTCTTTTAAACTTCATTTCGATCCAACATCTTGAGTAGGAAAGAGATTCCAAGTAAGTTGTAAGTTGAAGTTATTATTAGAAGCGCGAAATAAGACTCGAAAACGTTGGTATCACCAATGTTGGCAAGACAGAGGAGAAAGAAAGAGGTGTAGGTCGAGATTTATTGTCCTCACCTGAAACTCGACGCGGTACAGAACAGGAAACTTTCGACGTAACTCGCAAAGCTTGGGAAATTGCGAGAGTTCGGTCGGCGCGGATGGCAGGGTGGTGCTCATACTGCTACCGAGTTCCTCCGTGGCTGTGAACAAAAAAAAGAAGAGGGATTAATGTGGTGGACATTCGGGGTCGAGTAAATCGACAGTTTCTACTTGAAAGATTGCTTCTCTGAGAGAGAAAGAGAGAGAGAGAGACGAATGGATATATTAGTGACTATGGATTTTTTTCAAATATTCAATATAAATACAAAATACATGGTAAATTTTGTTTCTATATACTTTGTATCACACACAACAGACCAATGAATTCATAAATGTAACATTAAATTTTCATATAAAAATTGTAAAAAAAAAATTAAAAATCTGCTTAGGGAATAGAGAGAACCATGCCATTGAAATCGCTTTTTGTTTCATCCCGATATCTCAATCGGTTGCCGAGATATACGCGTTCAAAGTATGCATAGCGCTTAAGATAGGGCAGATATTATGAATGGATTCGCGACCTACTGACCTACATTTTTTCCTGGAAATGTGTACTACGTTTTTCTAAGAATCGCGTCTGTCGCTTGTTTGGAGTTTGCGATAGGTCAGTGAGACGAGAAGCGAGCGAGAGATCCGAGTAAGCGACGAAGACGGAGATAGTAAACGATTAAAAATTACCCTTTTCTTTACACGACGATATCTCGGCAACCAAAAATGGTATCGAGATAAATAAAAAAAGGTTTTAAAGGGCAAGGATCCGCGCTTCCAATGATCTTTCGTTCGTTGACCGGAAGTTATTATCTTCGAAGTTATAGCGGTTCAAAGTTTCCCTAATTTTAATAGAGTTTAATTTTAATAGAGTTTAATAGGTTTACGGTGAATGATTAAAAATTACCTTTTCTTTACATGATGATATCTCTGAAACCGGAAGTCGTATCGAGATAAATGAAAAAGCGTTTTAAAGAGCAAGATTCCACGCTTTCATGATCGTTCGTTCGTTGACCGGAAGTTATTATCTTCGGAGTTATAGCGGTTCAAATTTTTCTAATTTTAATAAAGTTCAATCGAATTTTACGCTATAAATATAAATATAATAGTAATATATAAAAGTAATATTAATTAATATTACTTTTATTAATAAATGTTTTACACCATATAATACTATTTTTTATCGTATAAAAATAAGAATATGTGTTCAAGACTAAGACATGAAAAATATGGTTGGTTGGTTAAAATTGGGAAGCAAACTAAATATTTTCAGGAATATCTATAAAGTCTTAATGACTGAAAAACATTTAACATTGGAAAATAAAGAAAACAGGAAACCCACGGGAGACTGGAAATTAACATAAACGTTTACACAGCTATTTACAACTTAATTACGTTAGCAATTACAACTGGAACGTAATTCCAGAAAGAGTTTGAAAAATGTAAGCAAGCAATGCTTATACACTGTATTATACTTAAATCTTACAACAAAATTAACATTATACGTGACGAGACACTTCATTAAAAATACTTTTTAACTAAAATAAGATCGCTATGAAATATAATTCCCCGTTTTTTGATGAGCAGAGGATTAAATTAATTTAACAAATGAGATCTTTTATTTTTTCCAAAATTCATAATAATAATTTTCGAATTCCTAGAATGGTAATTTGCAAGTTCTTTCTGTTTAAAGAATTATTATAACGTATTTATAAAAATTCTTCTCAATGTTTTTAAAAAATTAAACAATTTCGCCATTTCACTTCGGAAAAATTCAATTGCGAGATAATTACACCGGATAATTGAATTTCAATGTCAGACGCAAACTATCCATTATTAGACTGCTGACAGATCGAAGAAAACCGAATCAAGTTGAAAAAGAAAAATATTTCCACTCTCATTCATCCATTACATTCACCTAAATGTAAATTTATGCTAATGTTTGTATTTCCATTTTTATCCCCGTTTCTTCCTCTGCTCGATCGACTCACTTTTATCTCTTTCTTTCGACTAGACTCTTTTAAATTAATTAATCGTAAAAGATTTTTAAAAATTTTATCCAGTGTGAAGAAAAAAATCGTCGATTTTTTAAATATTTTAATTATTCAAAGAAAATTTTTACAATTATTCCTCGCGCTCATCCTGAAACAAACTTTTTCGATCTTCGTTTCATTGCACTACAACAAAAATTATCGATTAAAGTAAAATAATACAATTACGAAAAATTCTAATTTAAAAGAATATTAAAATAATCACAATCGGAGAAATCTCTTTTCAAATTATATCCATATCCAAATCGTGGTTTAGAAGAGAAACGTTTCAATGTAAAAGAAAATACTTTTTAAATCACACTTTTAGCTTTATCTCTCTCTCCCGGTAATAAGCTTAAAGTCTTTACGACTAGAATTCATTTTACAGCAATTTCTAAAACAAAAAGAGAGAAAGAGAGAGAATAATATCATAATTCATCGCGTAACTAGCAAAATTGCGACTTTTTGTTTCACTAAATAAACAAGAAGTTTTATGCGGCCATGGAACCAAGCAACTTATCCAATAACCATCTAGTTTTAAGTCGTTTTTATCCAAAGAGATCATCGGTTTGGATACGATATTCCCTTAAAAGAGTGTTTCGAAACTGGGTCACGCCTCTGCATATAAACATCCCCCGCGAATCTCATCAACTTCCTGGAACGTTGTCACGTCCCAATATGTAACGGTGGAAACTGGAACAACGGTGGCAAACATCGGCCGCATACTCGATTTTTGGATTCGTTTATCGTCGAAGACATTTAATGGAACGAGAAATTTTTCATTTCCACGGATCCTTTTTTTCGCCCAATTCATTCACATTTATCGATTCTCGAAATTGGGTTAATCGATGCTTTGCTCGACGATACTTTTGTTATTATACACTTGTTCCTGATAACGTCACGCATTATTTGGATATCTTTCACTTGGCCTTTACCTAAACTTTGATATCGTAATCCATTTTCACAACAAACGATTCTCACTTGTTCACTTCTCACTTGTCAATCCTATACGTACTCTGATTGCCATTCACTCAAGATTGATCATCATCCACACTGCTATGTAAGAAAAATAAATAAAATTTCCTATACTTGTATAAATGATAAACTACAATCAATAACATTGCTAGTTTTCAAATTCTATTTCGCAAAGTAAACAAACATAAATGATATATATTTACCCCTGTATAAACTTTTTCCATAAAAAGAGAAGAACTCGTATTACCAACCTCGTCCCAAAAACTTTTCTGCCAAATCAGCCAACAAAACGTCACTTCCTTTATTATTCCCGTATAAAAAACAATCATCGTCGATTCTATCGATCCAAAACCGTATCGATCGAGTTCCAACATCCTTTATTCGCCTAATTACATAACAATAGTTGCAGAGAGGGAGGGAGAGAGAGAGAGAGAATGGCGGCTGTCGTTGGTACAACGGCCTCATTAGCCTTTATCAGCGTTCGATGGCCGCAAGAAAGCCGCGATGACACAGGCATCCTCGTCGCTTCATCCCCAACCCTCATTGTGTCCCCCTCAGCGTTCCACGCCGGCCGAATAAAAAAGCAATCAAGGCTGTAGCCGAGTTATACGAGGGCGAGTCACCGCAGAAATAGGGCGGCTAATTATCCTGTTCGGCGTTAAAAATAAAACGAAGACCCACCTATGATGGAACCTGTTAATGGATCCCCCTCGCCACGGTTTCTTGCACGGTGCAACAACAACACGGTTTCCGTTACGAGCAATTAGAAACGTAATCTCACGTGATGGAGTAACAGATTGGATGAAACGAAAGACAAGGAGGACACGTGATTCAATGAATTCTTCTTTCTGGAAAAATTATATTGCGTGAAACGTCTCGTCGAATTTCAATTCGAATATTTGTGTTGTTTTAGTACAGTAAAATTATAAAGAACGAATTGAATCCTGTGGAAAATTGTAATAATTTAAAATGAAGAAGAGGGAAGGAATTATCGATCGAATGCTAATCACAATCTGTAAGAAATCTGTAGAACGATTGTTTTCGTCAATTTTCAAAACTTTCCATCTAATCGCGCTATTGAACATTGGTTAAAATCACTTTTCCAGATTATATCGAAAATCGTTTCAACAAACTTTCGAACAACTTTCGAAGATTATTAAACGGGTATAAATCGGCCAGCTATTTATAGGAAAATAATCAAACGAGGATCAAAATCGTTTTCCTTGCGAATCTCTCTGACAACAAGCGCGAAAAAGACACGATATTAGTCCTCTTGTAATCTTGAATAAGTGTTTCTTCTTAGGCGACAATAAGTCAAAAGTAATAAAAATTCAATCCTTCAGAATGATACAACTAATATATAAGAATAGATACGTTTAATTCAAGATAAATAGCTTGGTGCTCGCATTAACATCTACTGTTATCCAACTTTGTACCTAGTTTTAGTCCGATAACCAGCATTAGTCCATTCAACTATCAGAGAACGAACAGCGAAGAATCCCAAGAGCCGTATATAAACAAATTCATACATCAGATAATATTGCAGTTTATCCACTCTCTCATGCTTTGCAATATGGATTTTGTTGAACATTTGCCTGCGGTTTTACATTTATAAATCCTTTTATTTCTCTCTATTAATATTTCGTTCAACGATCCCACAGAATCCATGGTGGATAGTGGAAGACACGTGTCAGAGGTCGATCAAGCTCGACTCGTACGTTTCAAGGGTGGATTCCATCCTTTTGAAAGTTATCGCGATTTTTCGATTTTTTCCTTTTTTTTTTTTTTTTTTGAGGCGTGTTAAACGGTTTACGAACGTTTGCTCTTTGTGTCATCCACAGGTGTGCCACAGAAATAATATCGAAGCGGATCGTTTCTCTCTCTCTTTGATTTCCACAGTTTTAACCCCATCCATTTCCCTGGACACGATTCGTTGACGTTCAAAACTGAAATTGTTGGCCATCGTGAATGGAAGTGGACAAGTACAATAGAATTCCGCTTATTCGAAGCTGAGGGACGAACAGTTAACAGTTAAGTATAATCAAATTTTATGATTTTTAGAATAATTCAATCGATAAGAGTTCGTTCAAATTGATAATGAAAAATTT